CCCCTCCTGGCTCCGTCTCGCCGCGGTCCATGTTAGACCGCCAGGTGGGCAGCCCCTAAGCAAACGCACGCGTCCAATGGCAAATTGGGTGCTTCTCAGTTTTCCAAGGCGTTTTCTGGGCGTGTTTTACTCATGTGTCTCCGTGTGATGGGCTGCCACGTATTGGCCTTGTGCTCAGCATCTTTACATTATCCTGGTGGACCCTTTGGGCGTATGATGAAGTTGCCATAGTCTATCTTTGTCATCTTTCTGCGCTCTAAGTGCTTTGAGCTCTCAATATTAGAAAATTATGTAGCATGCCTGGCTGATGACTTGGGTGCTTCCACCCTCATTGAGCGGCAACCTGCTTGATGATGATCAGTGTGGCGAAGGTGCTGAGGCTGTCGATATCCCCTCTGCACCATATCTGGACCTCATGGGCCGCCAGCTGAGTGATATCATTAATTTACTTTCTGATGTGCCCCGTTACTTGGCAACCCGAACGCTTCCGTCTTTCCACATGGGTGTCAGTCTTGCCGATGCGTTCTGGGAATTGTTTGGAGGGTGTCTGTGATGCAGGGGGTGCTGTCCAATCTGACGAGCAATGCAGGGTCTGGCTGGCGTTAAGGGATTACCAGCGCCATGGGACGGGAGCAAGTCCAGAGGGGTTGGACATGCACATGTGCACAAACTGCTCTGATGTATGCAGGGGCTGATGATGCGGCATGTGACCTGATTTCGTATTGCTTTATTGCTTATGCCCTCAGCTTATCTTGCTTTGCTGTTGAGTGCAAGGATCATCAGTTCAAGACATCCTTGAAGGCGCTTGTAGCGTCCATGGGGATGGGAGCATGAGGAGGGAACAGAGAAACAGAAGCAAGGCGGGCGGGTCTTACTGCAGGGCAAAGGGCCAGCGGCAGTCACGTCACATATATATCAGGGTACTTTCAGTGTCCACTACACAGGAATATATCGTAGCAGTGCACAAGCGGTGATCTTGGTATTTTGGCCTACGGGATCAGGTGTGACGAAGCCACAGGACAGTTCGCGTGGGCCTCAGGAGCCGGAGCAACAGTCGACGGCAGCCGCCACACTCGCAAGGCAAAAATAGAGCTGGTTTGAAACAGACAAAATACAATAGAGCTACACCTCAAGTTCGCTTCCTGTCGTTCAACCACATCCGTCTCGACCAGCGCCCCAAGCAGCCGCGCCCAACGTCGCGCACCCAAACGTCAGTTCGCTGCTCCAGCATTTCTGCGAGCGCCGGCGAGACAGGCGCGCTCTGTATGTCCAAAAGAAGTAGGGTAATTCAATAGTCACAAATCAGTCAGAATTCCGTAGTACGTAGGTCGCCCAGCCCAGTGACGCAACATGTGGTACCGCCGCTGCTGAGCAGATTCCACACGCAACCTTGGGGTGGTCGCGGCCACAGGGCGCGCAAATCCCACCGGTACCCGACGGCGCCATACAGCATGTGCGCCGCGAAACAATTGGCCCCAGCCAGCCCCTGCCAACCCTCTCTCTGGCCCGCTCAGAAACATCCAAAAAGGAATGAAAAGACAAATGAACGACCTGCCGTCATCCCAAACCCAGAATGGAGGAATCCCCAAACAAGTCTCCACGCCTTCGGCCAGAGCAATGAACAATCCTTTATGTGCAGTTGCAAAACTCTACTGCGAGGGACCTCCCCATCTGGGGCTTCGAAAAATGCGAAAAATTGACACTCAAAGCTCCCAACCTGACCTGCCCCTGTGTGCCCGCGACGCCCCTTGCTCGAGACAAAGATCGCAAGTTGACCAAAGCTCGAACAGCCCACACGACAGCGGCACCCCAGTGCCGTCCTGTGAGCCTCGCCACCCCCTTGCCCTGCTCCGCCCCACCCCTGACCCGTCCGACACAAAAGCGCCTGGCGACCAAACACGTCCAGAACACGCCAAGTGGGCACGTCGAGGTCTGTGACGTCAAAATCGAGGGGAGCCAGGCGGTGTGTGCTGAGTGCCCTGCATGATCGTCTGCCTGCAGTCGTCCAGAACCCCGGAGCAAATGATCTGCCAAAGAAGTCACTAACCTGTCATTGAGTCGTGTGCAATAAACGCGCCGAAGTAAGCCTGCACCCACGTCGTTTCTGGACAATTCTTTATCCGGCCCGCACACACCAGCGTGCAAGAATCAATTCCCGCCCCCTTGCGATCGACCACCCACATCACCACCCACATCACCGCTGTCTGCCTTCATCCCACCCAACAATGCGAACAACATCAAGCCTGCGACCGCACGTCACACCACGCGCCAACGCACAATTCAACTTCCCCCTGTGCAACTCAAATACAACAGCCTGGCAAAGGGTCGAGGAGAGTGCTTCGCCCTGTCCAGGCAACCGCGATCCCACCGCAGTCAAATGCTCACCACAGGCAGCAGCCTCAAAGTGCGTCCCATTGCCGCATCACTTCAGTGCGGGACCCCATTTCCGATGGCATGCTCATCTGGGACGCCGTCAGGCCCATTGTGCCCTCCGAAGTCTGCCACATCGACACGCCGCTCTTCCCTCCGGCTCCTGCCTGCAACTCCTGCTTCGTACTCAAGGCAGCCCACCGCCTCCTGCTCCCACCTGGGAGCTTCTCACACTTGCCACCCGGAGGTCCCCAACACCTGACAACTTGTTTCCTGGCGGGCGCCTGCAACCACGCTTATTATCGGCTAGTTGCTCGGCTCGCATCGCAGCCCCGAGGCCCGGGTCCGTGGTGAACAGCCTGGAGCTGTAGCGCCTCTCTCTCCCGGCCCCAACAGACACCCTGGACTTGACGGAGGACCCCGCTGCAGACACTCTGGGAAAAGAGGTGTCTTCCGCAGCAGGCTGGACAGGCGTCGATCCCGGGGTGATCAACATGGACTCCCCAGATCTCTTGCGCTCATCCGAGGTGGACCTGCTGGCGCCTTCTGAATGGGCTGAGCGGAACGACCAGGAGCCCGTGGTGTCGATGCTGTTCCACCAACTGGGCTTGGGATGGTGCTTGTCGACCTGTGCAGAGGAAAGGCAGGGCCAGTCGTCAGCAGGGGCCGTATTCCAGCAGGTCACAAAGCAGTGGTGGGCAGGGGCAACCCCTCAGCATACGAATGTTTCGCTTTGTGTCAGTCTTTGGCGAAACAGGAAAATGGGATGCGGCAGTGACAAATGTGTGGATGTCGAAATGTGGCGATGGAGCGGAAAGCGCGAGGCCATACCAGCATGCGAGTGAACACGTGACCCACAATTCGACGCTGGTGCCATCAACAAGGGCTGACAGCCTGAACAAAAGATGTCGATGAAACAAGAACGCACAGACATGCCTTGGAGCAACCACTTGCTGATTATGGCAATGGGATCAACGTCCCATCGGCTAGGATTAAAAGCAACAATGGAGAGAATGTGTGAGTGTGTCGAGTGGCGACCTGAGGCAGTCGACTGTTATGGAAACAAGTGCTCGTGATGCCTTTGGTGCTGCAACATCATTGTCAGTAAATACGAATGAACTGTAATTAAACTGTTCAGAATGGCACACCGGCTCACATGTTCGGACGCACCAGCAAACCACCCTACGTCACAAGATAATTGCAAGGGAAGAGGCTGCGTGCTTTCTGTCAAATGTCCTCACACACATGTTCCATCAGACTGTGAATGCACCTCCCAATGCAAGAAGGTGGGCAGACCCTCCCTATTTTGCCTGAGATCGAGTAAATATGTCCTTGCCTGCAGGGTGGATAGCAACACAACTGGGACGACACTTGTGTCTACCCATTTCAGATCATCAGACCTGCTTGCAGTCTACCAAGACCTTAACATGCTTGTTAAAACAACACACCAACTTCAATTCGCCTCATACAAGCCACCGACTTGTTTAATGGAATCCCAAGTGCCCGCCCGTCCTTCTGGCACTGCATCCTTCCCTCACCTTAACATCCGCACCATCAGCACACTGCAGGTCCCATTCCTGCGGCCTGCACTCAGGCGACTTGATGAGCTGCTCGCTGGGCGAGCCCATGATCTTGGATATTGCCAGGCGTGGTATGACCGTCCCCGCCCCCACAGCCGCGCACGCTCTCCCTCCCCTCTTCCGCGTTGGAGTCGGCGTCGACGGCGGCACGGGGGACGATGGCGCAGTGGGCGATGGTGGCGTGGCGACAGGCGATGCCGGCAGCTGCGGCTGGGCAGCAGCCGGCGCCAGGGCGGCAGCCGGTGACTGGCAGGCAGCCACCGATCCCAATCCCAAGTTCGAGCCCTGGCTGGTGGTCAGCCACAGGCTCACCTGCGGGTTCACCATCGGGGTCTTGCCGGCGCCCAGCACCGGCAGGAGGTCCGCCGAGGGCCGCCCTTCGACGGACGCCCGGGGCTGCAACATGCCCACGTTGTCAAGGCTGGTCCTGGGCCGGAAGTTGCCCAGGCCGACGTTGTGCTGGGTGTAGTTGGGCGTGACACTGCGCCATGGCATCGCCGTGCCCGGGCCGCAGGCCGACACCATCGGCACCGTCACGCTGCTGGACCGGCTGGACGGGTCCAGCGTGCCCGATGCCGGCTCATCACCGCCCCGCGCTGGCGGCTTGTCCGCGTCCCGGCGAAAGTGCGGGCTGGCGAACTCCGAGGCGGAGTCCGAGCGGGATGTCAGGGCGGGCTCGTGGCAGTCCGCGCTCACCCTCTGCGGCACTCTGAGGGGCAGCCGCTTCATGGCCATCACGCGCGATCCCTCTTCCTCGCGGGGGCCCTTTGGGGAGCCCACGTCCGGGAGGTCGGTCACGGGGGCGGGGGACCCGAAGGCCCAGAGGGGGAAGCGGCCCGGGTCCTGGCTGGGCCGGGAGCCCAGGCTCCTGCGCGCGCCCCACAGGGGATTGCCGATCACCTCCGTCTTCCGGGGCAGGCCCGTCCACAGGGGGTTGCTCTTGGGGGGCGAGCGCACGGTGGCGGGGGGCGCCGGGAGGGGGGGCGCCGGGAGCGGGGGCCGGTCACCTGCGCAGAGCGCCCGGGCACAAGTCAGGAGGGCGGGCGGGCAGAGCATCCATGTGGCGTCGTGGCTTTCCTTGCAGGCTTTGCGGTCTTGTTGGAAACTAATGCACACCGGACTCCAAGACCAAGCAGCTGAAAGGACACCAGTCCCAGGAAAATGGACTACAGCACTGATGCATTGTGTGGAGGATGCAGGTTGACATGGAGTCTGGGTCAAATAACGGCACATGGACAAGTCTCTGCATTCCAAAATCGATGAAAAATACCATGACAACTGAGCAACAATCTACTGACAACTACATCTCCCTAATCAAGACACAAGACTGCGGGGTTCACTTGTCAAGACACTTCGCATCATTTGACATACAAATCATCAAGAGAACAACCATACACTGCGAGGGGTGAGAAAATTGCGGCGAATAACTATAAGAGGAACGATGCGAAATATGGAGTGATTGGACATGGTGAACATGGTGACAACAACAAGTGTTGGGACAGTGATTACTAATGGGGGACATTTCCTGCGGGCACAACTTGGTTGATGTGCCTATCTTGTACCGCATCTGGTTACGGCCTCACTTCCCGTGCCTGGAAGCCAAGTGTAGACTGAGGGTGAGCTGTTACCTCGATAATAACATATAACCAAAAAAATTCGATAAAGAGCTGCGGCACTACAGACCTATGGGCCTCACCCGATGACACCCCTGAAGAATCCAGGCACTGTGCAGGCATGGCATGCGCTTTCACCACCCGCGCCTTCCCAGCCTCAATAGACAGCTTCTTGCTGGCTGCGATCTCCAGCGAGTGTCTCAGCTCCACTGACTGCCGCTCCTCCTTGATGGCTGTGCCCATAAGGCTGTGCGCGGCAGAGGAGCTGTAGGTGCTCGCCAGCCGCCGCAGCTGGCTCAGGATCTTCTTGAAGGTGGGGCGCCGCGCGTTGTCCTGCTGCCAGCACTCCTGGATAAGGGATGCGAACTTGGTGGGGCAGTGGGAGGGAATGGCTGGCCGCCTTCCCTCTACGGTTGCCACCATCACTTCGTTGCGGTGCATTCCGGAGAAGGCCTTGGAGCCGGACACCATCTCCCACAGAAGCATCCCGTACCTGAGGAGGCGGGTGGGGGACTTGTCACTGAGTAAACTCAGGTGCTCAGTACCAGAAGCAACGAGTCGAACAGTAACAAAACGACACCAGAGCACAGGTGCAAACCACTTTTGAACAACAAAATATGATTTGCACCTGTCTCCCAGTGCAACAGGAGGCGCACAAACAATGAAAGGATAGGACAGCGGCTTCTGAATCAATACAATAGGTTGGAAGTCAGCTGTGAAGGACTTACGAATAGACATCCACGGCAGGCGTCATTACTCCATCCCTCAGCAGCTCCGGAGGCATGTACCGCACCGTGCCGCATGTGAACGTCTCAATCTGGGTCTTGTTGTTCAGCATCATGCGGCTCAGGCCAAAGTCGCCGACCTTACAGTAGAAGCCCCGCTCATCAGCACTGGTGCTCTTCAACAGCACGTTGTGGGCCTTGAGGTCTCCGTGGACCACCTTCTGAGCATGAAGGTATGCCAGGGCATTGGCGATGTCCAGGGCAGTGAGCAACATTGACACAAACTTGGGCTCCCGCCTCTTGCCCTCGTCATGGAAAAATATGCCATCCCTGATGACCGGGTTAAAACAGTCAGTCCATTCACCAACCAAGGGTATGATCAGAAAGGAGCCTCTGGGTAAATGATTCCTTGAGAGCTGCCCAGAAGCACTGATCAATTGAAGCCAGCAGCCACGCTCAATCGATCAATCCACCAATCAAGCACGACAACAAAAACATGCACGGGGCTCCCTGGCAAGCAAATTCACGGGAACGACAACAAAAACACCTGTATCTTCTAAACTGTCACGCAAGTCTCCGGCTTGCACAAAAACGAAGCGAGACCAGGCTGCCACTCCCATCTCATCAGTTACCCCAAGCGAGAGCACAAGCCCACCTGATGGCCATGTTCAGCGAACCCCGGTCGCAGTACTCCATCACGATCCACGTGCGGAACCTCTCGTCCGCCTCCTCCGCGAACGTCGCGCTGGCCCTCAGGTTCTGCTCGATGTAGCTGAATTCGTCCATGTCCTCCAGCTCCCCCTCCACCTCCTCGCCCCCCGAACCCCCGGCGCTGCCCGCGCTCCGCGCCCTTCCCCTCCCCCTCTCCCCCGACTGGCACGACTGCCAGTTGGCGCCCGTGGACACGGACGCCTGCACGCTGTTCCGCCCCCTCGTCTGCTTCAGATACGTCTTGACGATGTTGGGATGGTCCAGGTGCATGGACAGCAGCGCCTCCAGCGGCTCGCCCAGCCCAGCCTGCAGCATCCTGGCGTCGTGTTCGATCACCTTCACAGCCATCACGCTGTGGTTGTGCAGCGCCTTGTACACCCGGCCGAAGCCCCCACGGCCCAGGGGGGACCCGAGCTGCAGCTCCCCGAGTTCCATCCCGTCCAGGGCGTGCGCCGCCATCGTGGGGTCGTTCAAGTACGGGACCTCGATGCAGAGCGGCTCGAGGCGCGCCATGGCCGACGCCGCCCTGTCCGGGGCGTCGTACTTGCACCGGCGGCACCGCACGCAGCCGAAGGCCCCGAAGGAACGGGCCCACTGGCGCATCCACCCCGCCCTGGACCGCACCCCGGCGCCCAGCACCACCGCAGAGCTGACCAGGCATGTCAGCAGCGCCGACGGGGCGAAGGACACCCCGGCGGGCTTTATTTGGGGCGGCGGGCGGCGGTCGGACAATCCGCGGCAGGCGTTCCCGCCAAACACCGCCGGGGTCGTGATCTCAGGAGCTCCAGCGCCAACATTGCATCCCAACACCGTTTGGCACATCCTGATCTCCAGCTCGAAGCCCGGCCGGAATGTCTGGACGCCGGACCCAGACTGGACGAGCAATTCGGACGCGCCCCCCGGCGAGGGGCTCGCGCCGGCAGCCCGGGCCCCGGCCTCCAGCTTCTGTACATATTCGCCAGGGGGGGCCCCGCAGGACCGACTCAAAATGCTGCACCCCGCCATCTCCATTATTGCCCGTCCCTTATTGCCCGCCGCGCCCACCGCCGCCACCGCCACCTCGTCCCCCATCGCCTCCTGCGCCAGCACCAAATTCGCCAATCCGAGCACCGCCCCGTCCTCCAGAACCAACCCCCCTCTCAGTGCCCCCCAGTCGATCACCGCCCCGGGCCCCCGGGCCTCCAGCCTCAGACTTCCCCCCACCGATATTTTCCGGTTCCAGGCGCCCGGACCGCAGTCCAGGCTGCCCTCCACAAGGATCGTCAAGTCAGAATTCCCCCCTGCCAACCCCTCCAGGGCGCCCTGCAGCCCGGCGCATGACGTCACGATCGGGGCCCCGGGCTCCACCCGCCCCCCCAGGGCCCCCGGGCCTGCCGCGATCCACGCCACCGCCAGCGCCAACAGCCTCGCCGCCGCGCCCGCCAGCCGCGGCGACGCCGCTCGGCGCGACATCGCCGCGGAGAGACGGACAGAGGGCGGCGATCCCTCCATAGCAGTCTTCGCGGCGCGGCCGGCGGCTGTCACATCCGCGATCCCTCCCTGCGCCAAAGTGTCAGTCCCTGTGTCAGGCCGTGAGTTAAAACACGGGCTGGTCAGAGGGGTGTCGGTCAAAGGAGTGCAACGAACGACGAGGCGGACTTCGTCGGCTGGGCGAATGCACCCCTTGGCCGCTGCCGCCGGCGTGGGGGCCCGTAACGCGTGCACCATCGTGCTGGGCACACACTCTCAACCACGCAATTGATGCATCCACTCGTCACCCTCGCCGCTGTCGCCCGTCAGGTACCACGCGGCCCACCCGGCCCGCGGACCTTGGTCTCCGCCACGTCCACCGCATCCCCGCCTCTCGGCGCGGTCACGTCAGAAAAATGCGCGACCCGCGCGTTCGCAGGGAAGATTTACAGGCCCGCGCCCCGTCGCCCCTCCTAGAGCCTAATTCGCGCCCCCCGCGCTCCACGCGAGCCCCCCCGGCACTGCGCCATCGGGCCCAAGGCCCAACTACTCCCCGCCAGCCCCCACCTGCGGACATGCAACCATGATGCCTAAGATTGCGCGCCGAGGCCCATCGCTTTGTCGCGTCCAGCTCCCTCCCCTTCCGCTCACCACCTCGGGGGCGGGCGCCGCAAGCCCGAACACCACCTGGTACCCCGGGGGAGGGGGGGGGGGATTCTCTGAGCCAAATTGTAAGTCAAGGGGGGATCCGCCCCTGCGTCTGACAAACGGGCGCCAGCCCCATCAGCCACGATACGATTCCCCTAAAACGATTTCCCGTACGGCATGGTGTTGGGCGCAGGTACGTTCCCAGCAGTTTGCGTCACGGGGTTGGTGGGCGCATGGCGGGCCTGGGGGGCCCAGCGGGGGCCGCGCCAGACGGGACGGGGGGTGCATGAGAGTAGTGGTGGGCGTGGGCGGGGGGCGCGAGAGAGGTCAGCGGGGTGGGCAACCGAGGGCGGCTGCGCAGATCGCGCCGTGCAGCAGAGCGGGAGGGCGGGGATGCCACGAGGAGGGGAGGGTCTGTACCGCACGTCAACCGTCGGGTCATTTGTGGTAGAAAATCTGCGTAAGGGCCTGGGTATTGCCACCATCGACGGGGATGCGGCGGACTGGGGAAGCGGCGAGGGACAGCGGAGGGGTGTCCCAAAGCCGGGTTTGAAACTCGGGCGGCGGGTCTGAAAACCGGGTTCTAGTATGCCGGACACCGGGGCGTGTTCCGCAGGTTTTCGTGCAGATGCCGTGCGGGCATTTTTGAACCCGGCGGTCGCACAATCGCCCGCCAGCTCACCCCCGCGGCCTCGCGCACAGATCGAGCCTGCACGGCCGCTGCCGCCGGCATATCGCCGGCGAGGCTGCGCACGTGGAAAGACAACTCCCCCTGGAGGGTGCGCCGGGGGGCAGGGCGCCCGGCCCCGCCAGGCGATTCCCATTCGTCCAACGTTCAGTCCGCGTTCGACGGCGCCGTCCAATGTGCTGCGGCGGGGAGAGCGGTTCCACGGCGGGGGTGACGAGGGCGCGCGGGCGCCCCCGCCCGCAGGGACAGTCCATAGGACCCCCTTCCCCCCACCCCACCCCACCCAGCAAGCCCACCCTCCGGCCGGAAATGCCGCGCGGCCATGCCTCGAGGGCACAAGGCCAGGATTGTCCCCAAGGCCGAGGCGCACCAGCAACTTCAGCCCCACCCGCAACACGCCCCCCAAAGCCGCGATTTCCCTCCCCCCCACCCACCCCCAAATCTCCCCCCCTTCCTCCCCAACATCCCCCACCTTCCCGCCCGGCCAAACCACTCGTCAACGGATTGGCTTCCCGCCGCCCCGGCCCCGCCGCGCCCCGGGCCTCGGGATCCCGCGCCGTGCCGCCGGGATCGCCGAGCGGCCAGGCAGCCCGCCGACCGGTCCGCGCCCTCGCTAGCGCCTGCCTGCTCCTCGCCCAACCCGCGGACGGGGTCCTGTGCCTCCGGCTGGCCCACACGCCAACCAGATTACACGGCCGAAGCCTGGCGCCTTTCGCCCCACGTCAGCAGGCCGGGCCCCGGTGAGTAAAGGGGCGCAGCCACAGTCACCGGCAGTGAGGGCAGCAGATATTATTCCTCTCCTACTTTAAAGGGGGGTAGATCGTACGATTGGCGCGCTCGCGAGTATCTGCCATACGGTACAAGATTGCGGCCGGGTGGTACAGGGGTCCGGTACAATGTCCGGCCGTGCGGCGGAAAAGAATGCGATGCGGGCCGCAGTCTGGGCGCGCCCGGTTGACGAAGAGAGGGGGCACCGCGCAAAGCGTGCTTGCCGAAATGTGGAGTGAATTCAGCGGGTGTGGCAACGCTGTGCCAAAATCCCGGGTGAGTTCAGTGCATGTGGGTGACGCGAGGCGACGCGTGCCTGTCGCATATGCGAGTGCATTCGCCTGCGCGCCCGTGCCGCGCGTTGGTCTTTCAGCTCGCAAGGGTTACTCTGCCTGACACAACGGATACAGCTGCTGCACGCGATGCAACCGATCCATTTGACAAACTGTTGTGGTCGCTGACATCGGTGCGGTCTCACTGAGCGCCGCACGCCTCTCACCAAGGTGGAGAAGGATGCGGTGGGAAATCAAGCACGGAATGGTTGTAGGCAACCAGGAAGACAAGTCAATAAAACGAATGTGCTGGGTGACCCAGTGGACCGTCCATTGTTGCAAGAGAGCTCGTTGCGGCTCAAGTGCCCAACACAAGCCTTTGCTCCTCACGTTAGCCTCTATCAGGTCAAGCATCATTCGTCCCAACCCAGACATTCGTCCCCAACATATGTTGTATGCACAACTTATTCCGTAGGTTCATCATTCACTGGGGAACTCCACAAACTGTTGCACTTTTAAAAAACCTACCATTCTCGGCGCACGCAGTCGTTGGCCCTTCCTAAATGTGGGTCATCCTAACAGCAGGGCGGCTGGCTCATCGCTCTCCGTGCCGCCACCTCACTTGTGCGATCCAGCGGGCCTCAACGGCCTGACCTCGATCCAAATTAAGCTCTGAAGAAAGACGCATTAGGGGCTCCCGACTCATCAAGGACCAGGGCCGAGGTGCTCTGAGTGCGCCGCCGGGAGTGCGGCCACTGTAAAATATTCAACCCTTTCGCATCAGAAAATTTTACTGTTATGCTTTTTGCTCTGCATTTTGTTTTTCAGAGCGCTATTTGATTTTTTTGGAACGTTGCTCCCAAAAAAACAAACAAACTTGGCATTACTACTTATTAATTTCTCCACAAACAGGGCCCAGTTTTACCTTACTATGCGGAAGGTTCAATGTGCTGTGGTAAGTAGGCTGCAACGATGTGACTGTCACTGCTATCCAACTGAGGCCGCCCACTGCTTCGCAGGTTGGGACGCGATGGGAAAGCGTTTGTCACGCCGTTGCGAGGCAGGTAAACTTGTTCTGCCGGCAATGCGTTCTGTCCTTGCGTGGCTTACTTGGTGAGAAACGCACGCAAGACTCACCCAGCGCCGTTGTGGCTGCTTGTTGCTGAACGTGATGCTGATTGCCTTGCTTGCAATGCCGAGGAACCTTGGCTCACGTCGCGTTACAGACGGTAATCACTAGCAAAAAAAGAGGACCAAACAACACTTTTTATGAACGCATTTCATCAATGTCCTGCACGCTAAGGGCACGAACACAACCCAAACCCGTAAGCTTTGTACAAGTTTGGACACGCGTTATTTGGCTTGCTTTTTTCTAGTGAATGCAGTGAACGCGCAGGAGCAGAAGTGCGAACTGCTGCGGACTGCAGCACCAGGCCAGTTCTCCTGGCCCTAGTTAGGAATTCATTGCCTTTGGGAGACTACTCAGCATCTTTCGTAACCACCGTGCACGTGGACTATTTTCTCAGCACCTCGACGCCCAGTGTTACGTCACCATGCGAAACGGCTTAGTGCATTTACTGTACCGCGATACCTTTTCAAATGCAGGGGAGGGCCGCCATTCAAATTCGCCGGCATTCGCGGCTGCTGAACGCGGGCGGGAGCGCGTTGGGGTGGTTGACTCCCAGGAGCACCGGAAGACGATCTCTGATCGTCGTCATAGGGATGAAGGACCTTCCGAAGGGCGTACACGTGAGTTGGAGGAATCGACCTGCGTATCTGTCCATCACCAGATGGCTCCAAAGTAAAATATACGAGTACGCAATGTGCGCAACATGTGTGCTCAGTCACGGGCAGACGGAGAGATGCGATGCACAATAAGTGTTACCTGGCATCAAGCGCCGCAACCAGTACTTTACGGTGCAACACAATTTCACGAAGTCGGCGACCACAAAAGACAAAATCGCCTTCCGCCGCAGCGCAACTCGTCATACAATCGGACAAACAACCTCAGGTATCCAATTCGGAAACAAAGCAACGGCCTATTCCATCCGCCTACACGACCTATGTTATCTGCAATTCACCTTCCTCACCACCGTGGACTCAACAATGGTCGTAACGCATGCGCTCTTACCCGATCACGAAGTGCGCAGATGAACAACAATGGCAGCCATCCACAGAGAACGGCGCACAAGCTCAAACACACCGCCGCCCTCCCACCATTCCACACACGCACAACCGTGCGCGCCAAAATGGGCCCTTCCCACTCGTCAAGCAACACCCCAGGGGGCAACCCACGTCAATCTTCTATCCTCCCCTGGGCCCACCGTTCAAAAAAGAAAACCCCCCGCTGTCAAGCCGCCCTAATCACATTTCTGTCCTACCCACACCATCTTGACCTGATGCTTGGCGGACAGTATGTTAGCGATATACTGAAATTAGCTTCCACTTCGCCTGTTTTACGCGCGCCGCTGCACACAGGCGCCCGTGCCCCATCTCGCCTGTCCACCCGGCCCTCGGGTTGCATCTACCCCCTGCGGGCCTCGCCGCCCCTCATCCCACCCCCTCCTTTGTCCGGCGCGAAGTGCACCGCCTTGACCTGTTCCAACAGGTTGTCGATCTCTTCTCCGGCTGTCCCTCGGCTTGGCCGCGCCGCGGTGTCCCCCCCGTCCTGGGACCTGGGGCCCAGCTCTTCCGAGCCCTGCCCCTCGGCAATCCGCGCGCCTGGATCTGTGCTGGCGCGCCCTTCCGATGCCGACGCCGCCCTCTGAACTGCCTTAACTTCCGCGTGGAACTGCCGCATGAGATCTTCCACCTGACGGGGTCACGGCAGCGGACGGACTTGCTGAGATTCAGCGCTGGCAGCGTGGAAAGATTGGATGGCCTATTTTCTGACGTCAAATGCGCTGGTAAGAAAAGGCCGAAATACACGGTCTTGAAAATCGTGTGTTGTGTGACGCGATTGAAATCGGGTTAAATCGTGTATTTATTGTGTATTGTTAGCAAGTGGATGTTTTTGCAAGGATATCTTGACTGAAAGTATGTGAGCAAAACTGCGGAGTTGTTTCCAGGACATCGTCAAATCGGATGTTTCGGGGCACATAAGCGTCACCAGGCAAGCGACCACAATCTGATTTTCAAGTTGGAAAATCGCCGCAGGCTGATTTGATGTCTAAGTAAAATCTATTTGCGGCGACTACGTGCTGAAATTCAGAGGTAATGGAACTAATTTTTGAGCATCATGCCCCCATTTCCTGGCGGGGTCTATTTTGACTATTTGATGACATGCATGCTCAGGCCGCGTTACTGGCACCATAATATGATTAAATAAAAATATTTCAATGCTAAGTCATTGATGTGCTAAACGAGCCAATACAAAGGATCAGCTGACAGCTCAACGCAGGCGTTGATGTATAAAGTCGGTTTAGCCATTCATGCACTCATTCATTTATTTACTTTGACTGATTAATTGGCTCATTCATCCACTGCTTCACCCACCTATTGATTCGTTAATTGTTTTAATGATTGTCATCTGATTGGCGCATCCATCAATTGGTGGGCTGGCTCGTGGATTGATTGAGGCGGAATGCTATTGCCCGTTGGGGATCACCTGACACGTCAGAACCGCGACTTCGCTCTGAAGTGGCCCGATAGCCTCCTGCCGCCTAGCCTCGGCGTCTGCCGCGCACTGCTCCTTGGCCTCGCGAATTCCGCTGGCAACGGCCTGCCGCAGCATCCCTATCTCTGCGCTGCGCTCTGCGGCGACGGCCTCCAAGCGCGCCAGTTGGGGCTCCAGGCGATGCTCGCACTGCCGGATGTAAGTGCGGATGGCCTGCGCTTGGGGAGTTTCTGTCATCGTTGGTGATGTGTGTGCCAAGTCTATGAAACTAAATAATGGTATCTCAGACGCGTATTCAGAATATGGCAGCGTTACTGCCGGTTTTCAGAAGTTCTGGTGCATCAGACAGGCTTGTTGTTTACGCCGTGAACACAGATCGTATTTGCGTTTTTACGCGCAAGTATTGCTTTTGTGCACGTAAAAATACGTAACTACAACGTGAAAACCGCCCGAGTACATTAAGACAGCACATGTCGACTTACGGTGTCCAGGGAGTGGCATCCAGATGCGCTGGAGTGGGCGGAAAACGCATTCTTGTTCGACGGCATCGTTGTCCTTGCAGAGGGCCAGGTGGACGCTATGTTGCGCAAGCTTGAATGGGAAGAGGACTGATGATTGTACACGGTTTTCATCGTGTAAACTATGTGCTCCAGACAGCTGGAAAAAGAAACAAATACAGCGGAAAAAATAGCCCCCTTTGCAAATGTCAGTTTTTACGCGTAAAAAAGCAAACGTAAACCACTATCAGAGAACACAAAGTGGCGCCATCACAGTCTTTGCGATGGCACAAAAGTGGGTATGATGCCATCAATTAGTGTCAAATGGCATCTCTGTTTGCATCGCAAGAACATCGGTTTCCACTGGTGAACGTAATCGTAAACGTAAACCTAAACAACAAGCCTTGCATTAGAGTTCATGCAACGAGCGAGATATGGGCTGTGTGGGAAAAACTGCAGAGAACTCTACCCTGCGAAACTGCAAAGGCGACCCCGGACGTCACCCTGACATCACGCGGAGCTGTGAGCCATAACAGTCTGAACGCTGCGCATGTTCCTTGCCACATGCCTGCGCCGTAATGCTGTTCTCAGGTGATATTGGTCTTAGTGGCAAACACAAGCCTATCGGAGCAGCGATGATGATTGCTGCCACTGTGGGGCATCGAGCGATGCTTTGCCTTTCAGGCAACGACCGCGCAGCTGCTCCTGGAAGTTGTGGCGGGTACTCCTGCTCTAAAGTGGGGAACAGGTCTGACGAATGTGCAAATCCGGACGCGTGTTGCAACACATCCAATTGGATGGCGATCGAGGCGGAGTTGACAATGCGCTGTGGCAGACTCTGGGGTACATCTGTACACATTGTCTCACAAGGGCTTGCGCCAATGGCTCAAGTTATTCTCGCCAGCTTCATAAGCCGACACAGTGACACTCGTTGCCCATCCACAAAAGGATTTGCCAAACTGGCGACCGCTTTCGCTGCCACTGCTAGAAAACGGCATGTTTGCGGTGCCAACTGCGATGCCATTTTGACACAAAATGGCAGCCGTCACAACGATGTCGGTGGCATTAAAGTGGCTGCGATGACATCAATTTGTGCCAAGCGGCATCGCAGTTGGCATCCCAAACATGTTATTTTCTATTGGTGTGCGGACAGCTTGCTAGACCACTGGCGTAGCGCGGCGTGTGCCAAGCGAGGGGCTAATTCTCAAAAGATTGGGACTGAAGAGAACACCAATCAACGCACACACTGTATTGAAAGCACACTTGATCTCAGAGATGAGCTGCAAGCGAACGCTGTGCAGAGCATCAAAGGCGTGGCGAAGAATTGTGTGTCTGCCGAATCCTGGAGAAGACCAGCCATCCAAACTGACACGCTCATATGCTGAAGCAGGTTCCGTTGAAATACACGGCACCGCATCGCCCTTTCAGGCATGCCAATATGCCCAGCTTTCCACCGGGACTCAACATTTGGCAATGTTTTGTGCGACGTGAGTGGAAGCCCGAATACTTTGTGCTTTGCTCTTGCACCGTTCTGCTTACATTAGAGCATTTTTTGAAACACGACAGATTAAATTCTGATAAATCAATTTCCACTATTGGAAATAGCGCTACTGGAAACTTTGGAACTGTTGGAAATTCATTTCCATTTACCACGAGCAACTGCGCCTGTATACAATTGCTATAGAGATGCGTGCAGGTAATTATCTAAACTGATAGGAGCCAAGTAGATTAGCTCACTAGCAGCATTTTAATACATGCAGATACCTGTTCCCTACTGATGATATTGAGATCCAGTTGTTTGACATCAAGTCTTTCAGGGTATTCAGCATGAACGCCCCAACGGTCATTCACCATTTCACCAATCCATCGTTTCCACCCCCAAAGCGTGCAGATTCAGTCGACATGCTATTTTGTGACGCGCGAAAGCTGTCACCTGCCGTAGGTCTTCAAGGCTTGCCGACCTGTCCACGCCGTCCGGCGTCATGACTCGCTGCAGGACGCCCAGCTGAATTGGTATCTCCTGGGCGAGGGACGTCACCAGCGTTCGCATGCTCTGTTCCCACTCGTCCGCACCAGCTTTCAAGTCTTGCCGCTCCACCCTAAGGTTGGCGTTCTCCTCCAGCAGTACATCCAGTTGAATGCGCGCCTCATCCAACTTGCTCTGCGCGGCAACCAAAGCAGCGAGGAATCAGCGAGGAATCGTTTTCTGTGGGATGATGCTGTGATAATATTGCGTGATAGATATGTTTGCTGCACGCCACAAACATGACTATTGCCGCAGTTCGAGTACTGGCTAGCATCTCATTTGCCAGAACGACTGGTGGAGGTGAGGATACGTCAATGCGGCGACATTCAGAAGCACAGCTCAACGGGTCTGGTCTTTGCATTGCGACGCAAAGGCGTCACAAACGCGTGCATCTGCGTGCGATACTGGCCCAAAGGGCCCGGGTACGTCTCAATGCGGCTCAAAGACGGAATAGGTCGCCAGACACTAGTAGAAAACACCGTATTTGTGAGCCATCCGCCACGCCATTTCGACACTGAGCAGTTCCAACCTGGGGATTGTGATGTAAATATCAATTGAGGCGGTGGCAACAATTAATGTCGTGTGGCATGGTACTTAGCATCTCAACAATGTCACTTTGCATTGGGGGGAGCTGGCTGTGTAGATCGCTTGGCCTCACCTTGAGCTCCGCCAGTGTGCTGTCCAGGAGCGACCTGTCTTGCATGTTGCTGCGCAGCTCCCCTCGCAGCTCGTCCGCCTCACTGCAGGACGCCGCCACCTCCCCCTTCGCTGCCCTCAGCTGCGACGCCAACTCCTGCAGGCGGCCCTGAGCCCTGTCGGCAGCCGCCAGGGTGTCATCGACCAACGTCCTTCGCCTCAGTCTGGCCAGTTGATGCGCGGCCAATCAGTAAATTGGGGTGTGGCGTTCGTAGCAGAGATTTAGATTGCATTTTCGTGTAATGAATTGGAATTAATATATGGAGCACCGGCCCGAACAGTTTTCAGTGCACGGAATTCATTCCGTGCCTGGATCATTCGCTGAAAATTGCTGAACAATTATGTGCAAAATACCACAGAAGCAGAAAATCACTGTCGTTGGTGGGCACCAAAGCCACAATTGCACAGTATTCGGAACGTTCTGAATCATTTGAAATTTAAAGATGAATGGAAAATACTGCAGTAGTAGTTGCCATTCCCATCATATTCATCGATAGCAGCGATAGGGCAAACGATTAACAAAATGCCAGTAAATCGTTCAACGACAGCCGTATTTCTGTGCAGTGGATGGGATGTCACTTGCGATAAACAAAAGAGTACTTTCACTCCGGTCGGACACTTCCACTGACAGCAATACGTTCTGTCATTTAGTTTTACTATGGCCAAGGCTACTGCAAGATCAAATGCATCAAACTTCCAGAAAACAAGGAAAACTCTCATCAAGAAAGCGTCTAATCATCACTTTTCTCAAGTTTTCGAAACTGACCTTCTTTTATTAGATACGCGGATCCGCGTCAACACACACGCCCTTATTCCCGTGTTCGAACCCTTTCCTTATCCAGTGCCACCGAAAAAATTCACCGATTTTTCAACTACTCAACGCGTTTTAGCACATTCATTAGCAGCGCCGTACATTCAATAATTAATTCGAATAACAAAAGTTGAAACACAGGCGCAGTTCGTCTCTTCGAATCACCTCTGCATTCCGTCCCTGATGTCAGCGCTGCATTCCGCCCAAGTCCGCGCCATCTCGCTGCTGGCGTAGCTCTTAAGCAGCACCAGCTGCCTCCGAAATCCTTCCGCCTTCCTGGCGACTTCCGGCAGCAGCTTCTTGTGCATGAGGGCGGCCCAGTTGGACCTGCACGTATTTACCTCCGACTTAGCGACGTCCCTCGAGAGCTGGCATTCCTCCTGCCAGTCGAAGAGCCCACGATACCTTCTCAAAAAGTTTTGAATCCAGCTGTCCCTTCTCAAGAAGCTTTGAAACGCTTAAACGCACCGCTACTGATTTCCCGTTTGTATGATAGGATAGTTGCCTGCCCTGCATTCATGGATTTCCCAACATGAATGCCTTTGTGCATGAATTGAGCACTTTATAAAAGTTTGCAATATTGCTTGCAATATTGCGTATCGATTTCCACACGACAATTGAATTACAAAATTTCACATTGCGTTCTTTTGGTAATGATTTCTGGAGTCGCGATGGATGTGCAGCGATGTTGATGGGCCTTAGAAAAGACAATGCTTTGAATGTTTTACGTTTAGCGTAAATGGGCGCTAAGGGGGGCAGGCGTCCAGGCCATGGACGCTAAGGAAATATGTAATTGCAATTAATTGAACAAAAGGTGAGATGAAGCTGATCAAAAATGACGCTGATCAGCAAAAGACAGCTCATGGATTGCTCCGCAACCCCCTTAATAATTCAATCTTTGAGACAAACCAATGTGTCAATTCACATCCATGAGAGCTGCTCCCATTGCCTACCGTGGCTCGTAGCATCCCATTTCCGCCCCCCTACAGTCGCTGCAACTCTGAATATTTTTCCCTAACAACATCTTGCAGGTAGTATTTACAGTAATGTTGGTGAGCGATCCTGTCATCAAAGTAAGGATTGACGCAAAGGGGGGGTGGGGAATATGCATCGGAATGCGCGTACTACTACGAGGACGGTCGAATTACACCGTTAGAGCGGAGCAATTTGAAATATGAAGTTGGTGTATGAGTTAGCCCAAAACACGGTATCATCACACGAATTTGAGTCGGGCAATGGCCAACAATTTCAACCAGCCGACGTCTACGGGCTGCTGTCAACGCCAGGAGAAACATTCAATTTGAAATTTGCATATCCCGGCCAGTGACTCTTTGTGGCAGCGCAGCGGTGAGCGCAATAATCAACCAAAATAATTCGTTTTGTGACGCCCCCCCCCAAATTGCGTGAAGTACTCCTTTGCCTGTGTACTTTGAGCTCACCAGAAATGCAAATACCCCAAATCGATTTCAACTACCCACGTTAGCGGTCGCCTTGGCTACAGAGCCACAGATACAACATCCAACATATTTTTCGTGCCAGGTGTGTGTGAACGGTTCAATCTTCAAGTCCTCGCTGATCTTGCTTTAACGTGCACCGCATTACTCCCGCCAATGTTTCCTGAGAGGGTCTTAACCGCCCTACGCTCGGCAACCCACCTTCAAGCACCTGAGCTGCGTTTCCAGGAATTCGATGCGGGCGGCGGCCTTTTGGGTGCCCAGGCGGCGGGACTCGAGCTCTCTCGACAGCAGCCCGTTCCTCTCCGTCAGGCCCTCCAACTGGCTCTCGGCGTTCTGCGCCATCCCGCGGAAGCATGAGGCGCGAAATGCCGTTTCGAAAAATATATTAAAAAATTCTGATAATAAACTCCGATAACAAATTTCCGATGATAAAAAATTCGATCCTTTTCGAAACAAATTGAATCTTTGATGCAGCCTAAAGAGCGAATTTCTGCAGCCAACACACCTGTTTGAGAGGGATTAAATGCCCCAGGCTTTTGGAGATAATGCCGCGCTCTCGGCGGCGTTGGGTGACCAATCTACTTCGTCTACACGCCGCGCAGCATCTCTTGCCGGCATTGGCCATTGCGGCCCACTGTGGCCCATTCACGAGAGTGACAAACCACTAGGTGCTCAGATGCAATCAATAGTTTTGTACTCTTTGCGTCACGCGCACGGCACGCTGAAATAAGGCGAGTGATTCTTTGGCAACAAAAGAAGATTATGAATTGCAGGAAAGTAATAGACAGGCGGAGCATGAACGTCAAAAATGCTGGCAGAACAACACCACAGCGCACAGCACGCTCAAGCACAAGAGTTCATCAACTTGAGCTGTCCCTTCATGATATCTACACATCTGGGACATTATTATGTCTACAATATCACTGATGCACAATCTAATAATGATGTAGCAAGGCCTGCATATCCGCACTGACGCAAATTTCGGACACACAACAAGGCTTGTCAACACTGACAAGTGAGCATTTGCTGTAGCCTTGCCCGGCAGTGCATCAATGGCAACGGCTCCACAATATTGCAAGCGTCTACCCATTTTTCAGATCCTCAAGAGATACGCAGGCTCGCTGCATTTACACGACAAAGAGAAGAGCCTAGATTGAAATTGATTCAGCTGATGGAATTTGGCACCTTTATATGTGGCTAGAGGCATTTTTCAGGCACATAGGCAGCCACACACCTTTTCCGTGCTGGCTGCTCTCTGCTCCAGTTGCCTCATGTGACTCTCCTGTCTTAGCATCTCTTCCCTCAACTCCTGTACAACGGCACTGGGCAAGTCAAGATCGCTGGACCGAAGATCTCCCACATCCAAGACGCTCTGTGACTCCAAGGCTGTCCCTTGTCTCCAATATCCCATGGCAACAGCCCTCTTCTAGCGCCTTCGCTGTCGCATTTTTTTCCGGGCTCCCTTCTAAAATATGACTACACTGTATCTGGATAGTCATTTGTCATTGCAGCCATTCGTGACAAAATGTTGCGATGTCATCTTCAACGCGTTTTGAGTCACCTCCACAAATGTACAGCTCTCAATGTCGGGACGCCGCGCAATCTTGGTACTTACATCGCAAACACGGTGCATTCACGCGTATGTGCATGGAAAAGTGTGTTTGGTTTTGCACGTGTAACTACGCAAATACAGGTTTGCGTGCATAAATACAGTAACAAAGGCTCAGGGAGTCCGGGGAGTGGCAGCCGTACGTGCTGGAGGGGACAAATGATTTTGTTGGACAACGTCGTTGTCCTTTCCGGGGGCGAGGTGGAAGTTGTCTGGTGTTGTGAGGGTGGTCGAGGAGGCGGACGACTGGATGCCTCAACACGCCTAAAAATGCGCGATATAGCCGCATAATGGCTGTTTCAGTGTTTACGTGTTATTGCGAGTAAAGTCGCAAAAGCAAAACCATGCCGCAAACGCAACGACCAGGTCTGCCGCCGCACAATGAAACACAGCATGCCAGACAAGGCGACGAATTCGCGTCAGCTCGAAAGTCGATGGGAACTTAACTCATGGGTCGATGATTACGGTAATCATCGGCCCGTTCCTGGTAACCATGAATGCGGAAATATGTAAACAAGCTTCTATAGGTTAATTATGGCGGCTTTTGAGCAAGGGCGGCGCGGGGTCAGCCAAGCATGCTATGAAAACTCTCCAAATCTCGGGGTTCATAGTTGTGCATAGTACCAAGCCGATGGCGGATTCGGTTGAGACTATGTCAAATTTGGCAAAGGGCAACGTTGGATGCATTTGGCACCTTCGCTGCATGGTATTCTGCAATGGAAACGTTGATGATATCGAATATCTAGTGGCCCGCTTGATTTTGAATGTGCCGAAGACGGCCTCACCTGCATGGCATTCTTGTGTGCCGCCTCTTGCTGCTCCAAAGCTTCGTCTTTTGATTGCAGCTCCCGTTCCATTGACTGTGGAGAACGCGGGAATTCGTAAGCAGAAAATTGGCTGTTGTGTGCCCACTTGCGGGTAAGGCAAGCTTGTCATTTTGGGTTCTTTTCTTGTGTTTTTCATGCTTTTGGGCCAGTACTGGGCCGGTGCGTGGGTATGGGTAGTGAACGAAGCACAATGGGACAATGATACTTTGATTATGCCTTTGTTGCAGTGTCTGCGCGGGAACCCCAAATGTGCGGGGCCGCGGAGGCCGTGTGAACCTGTTCCTGTAGAGCTGGGCCCCTTTCCGCCGCGCCTCCATTGGATTCCCAGCGGCCGCCCGGGGCCGATCCCGAAGCGAAAGCTGGGCCCACCTCGCAGCGAACGGACGCTTGCCCCGCAGGGCCCGCATCGCATCTGTGGAGAGCGCCGGCGGCGATCCGCCAGCCATCGAGCAAGGATGCGCACTTGGATCCGACCAATCGCGGCGCCTTTGTCCGCGACAATGGTTTTGGGTGCAGATCGATCAAATTATCAGGCCGCCAGAAGAAAATCATCCGCACATATTCAGCGGACTGCCGAGCGCTGCCACTACCACAATTGCAACGCCAGGCGACGAGATGCCTAGTACACGTTACTGTTCGATTCCTACTGTTCGGTTTACAGTTATCGAATTCTGTGGCCCTTCAAGGCCCCTCAAGTGCAGTGTTTGCAACCAATGCTAATGCTCGGGACAACATCAATTGATATCGAAAAAGTGAGGCAGGGAAAACCTATCAAATGTTAGGGAAGCAATAAATGGATATTTTTTGGAAATTTAGGAAATTTTCCAAGGGACAAAAAATGTTGCTAAGAGATATCATCGCAACTGCGCGCTAATGCAAATAACATCAGCAATGGTGATGGAAGCGTCAGCAATCCCAAGAGATGCGCGCTGCGAGGAACAGCAAATGTGAATTTGTCATGTAAGTGAAACGCAATGTGTATTTTCCGTTCTATCAATTTATATGCACATGTCACTCTGTTGCGCTCCTTGCCCTTCCGTATATAGAAAACACAAACATTCCGATAATTTTGGGTTTCAGCCACATGTCGCGGCCAACCTTGATGTGTTCATCTCCTTCCTGCAGCGCAGCCAGGACTTCCTGAATTTCCTGATTCATGCTGGATAGGAGCTCTCGGGCTGAGTCCCTTTCCTCCTCGGCATCGACGAGTTGCTGGTGCTCCTGCACGCGCCATCGAACCGTACTTGGGAAACACGGACGCTTCCAAAAGCAAAACACAAAAAGGTACACGTACATATTGTGTATTCTTGCTTTGGACCTGAAAGTGTCTGACATACGATGACCCCACCCTGGCGATCAGGAGAGGACAGGGGTATGCTATGGGGTAGCCTAAGGTTTGGGGACAGTGTGTGGGTGTTTGCGCAGACCCGGATGAGGTGCAGAGCGGCGGATGACTATATCATTGAGTCGCCCGTTGCGGGCGGCGGCATAATTTCAGTAATCAGTTTCGAACTAGAAAGACGCGAAGTTGAGGCGCGGATCACGATGTCCAACACGTCCTGCTGCAGTTCCCCGAGGCGCGACTTCGACGGTCGCAACACACGTTGAAACGCTCTCAAAATTTACTGATTGACTGATTGATCGATTAATTTGCTTAGTTACTTTTTTGTGGACTGATTAATTGGTTGATGGACTGATTTACTGATTGATTGACTGGTTGATAGTTTGATTGATCGATTGATCCACTCATTGATTGCTCCGCTGATGCATCTGCGGACCCTCTCCGGCTCATTTGAGCGGATTCGCTAACCTGGCTGCGTCAGTGTGACTCAGCCAGAGCCTCGTGGCGCTCCCCAGGCCAAGCGCTACATCGCTGCTCTGCACCCATTCCAACCGAACGGGATTTTGCAGCGGATTCGGGGCGCTGGTGGGTTCAGTGTGCGAGCGGCGCAGTGGGGTGAATGCGCCGCCGGCGCGGCAGGTGGGGGTTCGGTCCTTGCCTTCTGAAGGCTTCCCTCTGCCATGTCCTTGAAGCGGTCCAGCTCTTCGTTCAGGCGCTCCAGCTCGCTGGCGCCAGCCACGAGGCGGTTTTCCAAGGCAGCCTTCTCGTCCCTCAACTGGGCGCGCGCAACATGCGCTGATCAATACCATTGCTCAAAGAGCCCAAGCGCAATCACGATCAGTGCGCGTGTGCGCAGTTGATATGCATGCATCAATTCAAACAATATTCATGCGTGAATTCAAACAACATTCATGCGTGCACAATTTTAATGGATGTAAACTGAGCATGGTTTCGATCCACGCCTTGGTGTGCTGGTGTTGGAGGAGCATGGACTGTGTCAATTCGAGCACTGAATGTACCCAGAAGGCTTGGTATTTGCGCCGTAAGCGCAAATCACATTAAGTATAAGAAGATGTTGAAGCGTCAAAACACTACAGATCAGTGCGCTAGTTTCCTAGCAGTTAGATATTCATACATTGCTTTAATGCTCGGCCTATTCTATTGCTACTTACTGGAATAGGCGCCACCTCCTTTTTCAGACTGGGTGCCTGAAAATTGCACTCAGACTGGTTGTATAACACATGCGCTGTTTTCGCCTGTCTCGTATTCCTTCTATTTTCACCATCTTATGGGAACCAACTCACTGGTCGTAACGTGTATTTTCCGAACAGCGTCGATGCAGTTTCGGTGCAATTATTTCGCTCGCTGGAACCCGTTGCCATGTCATCTGTTTCTGCGAGAGATATTGCGTCCACTTTCTGAGATCCTTTGCGACCGCTGCTCGCGAATGCGGTGCTTCAAGACTGGCACATGCACACCATGTCCCACAATGCGCAAGGCCGTGTGTTTCTGGCGTTGGATCAGTGGTTGAAAAAACTGACACAAACACTCTGTACATACCGCGGATGGGGCGTGACTTGTGAAATCGAAACCTTTGTACAAAAGAGATCCCAATTTAATGGAAAACGCTCCCTGGCGTTGGCAATTTCGAGCCCAAAAATTCAGCAACGGGTCATGGAGAACTCGGATAAGCACCAGCGCCGCCGCGTTCTTGCCGATACCTGCTGGATCTCTCTCCGGAAATCCTGCTCGCACGCCTCCCATTTGTCTTTCCACCCTTTCTCCAGGGCGTCCACGGACCTTTTGTGCGACAGCTCCAGCTCGCAGCGCTGCTCACTCATTCGCATCCTGACGGCCTGCGCACCTGACAGCCTGGTCGGCGCCCTGACTTGCACAACTCCGCTCAGGCGCGCCTCGATGGGTGCACGTGTCCTTGCCATGGGTGCTGTTTGTGTTCCTTTTTCGAAGGTTGTCGCCATGGGAGATCTCTACATCGCGCTCTAGCTTGTGGACCCAAATATGTAAGCTCTATCAGCGGCGAATACAGCAAATCTCATAAAGTACTTTATCATGGTCGGGTGACTGTTGTTGGGCAAGCTTCTTTTCGTTATAGCACAATCTTCCGGACACGCGCTGGATGGCTTCACACGAAGGATATGAGTTTCGAGTTGTCGTCCATTGCGATTGTTGCCCACCCGTTTGGCAACTGGATGGAATAGTGGGAACTACAGACAACAAATTAAAAGTTGTTGACGTTTCGGTCCCAGGCACAGCTTTTGCTCGAGCTGCAGATGAAGCGCTCTTTATCGAATGCTTGAAGGGAACTTGTTTTGGCGCATTTAATCAAATTGACCTAATCAAATTGAATTTGCTTTTTGTGGAGTTGAAAATCTTTTGGGTGGGGTGAGCGATCAGGCAGAAGCCTGTGCCAACAACTTCAACACAAAATGATGAACCTTAACTGTGATCCGTTCATCGATGAGATCGGAGATAAAAATACATGGTGAAAGTGCACTCAAACCACGATTAAAGATTTCGAAGAGCCAGTTTGTCATCTTGGGGGCCCCGAGGCGCTGGCGACGTCATGGCTGGTTGCCCGTGTGTTAGGAAGAATGAACCAAGGACGGCTTTGCTCCATCCACAGCAGCGACTACTGAGTGGTGAGCAGCACTACCTACCGATTTCATGAGCTCTAGCTCAAATGTGGATTGACGGATTTGGGTGATTAGGGTTATTTGGCTATGTGGATGTGATTCGCAAGCTGCCAAACGGACTGGTCGGTTGGTCGATTGGCGGAAGGATTGGTGAGTCAACTGAGCTGGCGAAACTTTTGAATAACGCGGGAATCGATCAACTGAGTGACTGAACAGAATGGTCGATTGAAACTTTCTGGGGGCATGACCGGCAAGTACACGCCGCGTTCCATGAATCAATTGCATGACGGGCGGGAGGGTGTATGGACTAACAGACTGCAAGGTACTGACGGCATGCACGGCAGGGGTGCGCGACGCCGCTGGCCATGTCACATGTGCGCCGCTTACGTGCTGGTGCTCTTCCAGAGGCACGCTGTCCTGGATGATTTTCTTGAGTCTGGTGTCAATGTCGCGAACGAAGGCGTCTTGGGACGTGCTGGAATCGCCGGAAGACCGAAATCGAAGTTGGAGCTCAAGGTCCTAGAGCAGCGGGACAGCATACATTTGGCGTGGAAACAGCGAAGCAGATCCTCGAATTGATTGCACAAATGCGCAATCGTGAACGCAAATGCGGCGGACTGTGCAACATTCTATTGTAAGGCATATGCCTTTTTATTCAAATGACATAAACCAATACGGAATTCAAAAAATGTATCTTTTGTTGCCTGCTGAATCCCAATAAAAAGGGTGACGGAATCATAGCCCTTGCTTCGGATAAGGGATTCCGGGTGGTTTCCGCAGCCACAAATATCTGCCGCAAGAATGCAGATTTCTTTCCGGCGGACGCCGCAGACACAGCAAACAGTAGAATGGACGGATTGATCGAGTCAGCAAGCTCTAGTGACCGATGTTCAGCAGCTCATCACGGAAATGTACTGGCTAATGCACCGGTACGCGGTCCAGAGGGCACAAGCATATGCAGGCATGCAAAGACACCTATGGTCTTCCAAACGCTGATCATTCTTGCAAAATAATTTTCACGCAATGTGAGGATGCGCGGTTGATGATTGACCTGAAGTTCCATTCACCCTCTCTGCATTTTGCTGTTCATTTTATGCTGTTTCGGCTTACGAGACGGCGCACAGCAGGGGCACCGGCTGCAAGCTAATGTGCAATGCTAGATTTAGAATAACTTCTGCGCGCTTTGTGTATTGTATTTGCCTGAATCCGTCTCTGGTACGTGAGTTGCTGCTCTTTCATTTCCAGTTCCAACTTCTCCTCCACCTCTCTGACGGCCTGCTTACGGGTGCTGGCCACCTTGGCCTGCTCGTCACGTAGTTCCCTCTCGAGCACGGTGATGCGGTGTCCCAGTGAGTGGGTCTGCGTGGCAAGCAGGAAACTGGTATCGAGCAATACATATCCATCCAATCTTTCCTGAAGCATGGAAGCAGGACGTACTTTACATGTTTCCTGCATATTGGTACGAAACAACGCTGGGATACCTCCAGTCTGTTGTCTGGGCACCTATGTGGTTCTGATCTGCACCCTTGTGACGGAAGGACCTGAAACACGGATGTGCCAGCAGCTGAGAATTCCATGTAAAGCTCTGGAAAATCGCAGGCACGCTGATGCTGCACCGAAATTCGATTTCAATGCATACAAATGCCATAACTAGCGCCTCGTTTCCAAGTTGCGCGTAACGGAAAGTTCCCTTGGCTTGTGCACTGTATCAATCCAGTCCAGTCCTGCCTGCTGCTCCATCAGTGCCACATCTGACGCGTGTCTTGTCCTCTGCTCGCTCAGCTGCTCCTGCAGCTGCAGCACCTCGCCGGCCTTGCCTGCCTGGTCCCGCCTCAGGCAGTCGACATCGGCCAGCAGGGACTCGACCTGGCGCTCGCCTCGCCGCTGCAGCTTCTTCTTGGCACCCTCCTCTGCCTCAAGAGATGCCTTCAGGTTGTGGATCTGCGGACCGGGGGCAGCCAATTCATGAATGATGGCCACTGGGCAGGAACGAGCGGACTGCCGCATCCAATTCCGGCAATGCTGAAAGCAGTGAGGAGCATAATTGCCTGTATTGCTGTGATTCATTTGCATCATTTGTTCCGCAGTCCACTTTCCCTGTGGGCCTGTGTGTTGGGTTTCAGTCAACTTTGAGCAGATGACCAGACACTGGTGCACACTGCACTCCCAGTACCTGCACACACATATACATTGTGACCACATGGATTGCCTGCACACGACCTTGTGCCCATTGCTCCATATGTGGGAGGTGGTTCCTATTCTTACTTGGGCTGGGATGTATGTAAATTCCTGATTGGAAGAGTGTCTTTCTGTCTTTAGGGGAGAAGGAAGGGGGGAAGGTATGTATTTTCATATGGGATTGCTTCTTTCCAGAACTGGATTCAAGGCTGCAAGAAAGACAAATATGTCGACCAATGCACACACTTCCTGACTAGCAGTTATTGTGGGAATCTGTTCCATGCTGTGAAGGGATGCTGTGGAGCTTCCAGTGCCATGCTCTGCAGTGCAATTTGTCTGGTGACTCCAGTGAGGAGGTGTCTGTCGCTGCAAGGCATTGTGGTGATCTTGCATGGCACAGACAGTGCTTTTCAACCTTGACAGAGACGGCAAAAATCGATGGCGCGGCCAGGTGACATTACGTAAAAGACAAATTAGAGCACAGGTACCTGCTGCATGTTGAATAATGCAGACAACGATGGACGCAGCACTGTGCTGGCACATGCAACCGTTTTCCTAAGCCTCAAAACAAAAAAAAACTGCCATCAGAAGCCTTGCAAACTTTCAGCAAGATGCGCCAGGTAGTGGCATTACCCTTCTGAAAGGCCCCAGGCTCCACAGACTGGGACAGCAGAACACATTGTCCAGTGATCAGAGGTGTGGTACGCATGTTCATGGCTTTCCTTCTGTGGTTTCCAAAACGTTCAAAACAATATTCTGGAACTGGTGATGGTGCCCTGCACCGTGACCTACATACTGGGTGCCACTATGTCCCCTTCATTCAGCAGCAGGAGCAGGCTCAGGGCTTGTTCACACACCAAGCACCTCCTGTAGGGCAGTTCCTTTTGTATAAATTTAATTCAGACCACCACGAGTGGCCCACCCCCAGTTGCTTGTCTTCCAACTTTGCAGATCTACTAGCAATGCACATGACAAGCTGCCTTCGTGAGACACCAACCAATAGAGGCTGACCTAGCACCTCAACAACCGCCATCGCCTCCAGAGGCCTCTTGGGGACAGCTACATTATTTAGCATTGTCAAGGCAAGCCGAACCAAAGAACTGCCTACCCCTTAAGTCAGCATGCAGGCGAGCCAGGCCAGGCCATGGAAGCAATCCCCAAACCGATCGGCCCATTTCCTGGGCTAGGGGGACACGTCGACAAGGAGGCAGGCGCAATCCAATGGTGTTGAAAGAGAAAACGGCTGTGCCTGCGTCACTGCGAACTGCACCAGGCAATGGAATAAAAGAAAGTGCACTGAGTATGAAGAATCGAATGGAGCGGGACGGAAGAAAGAAGCAATACCCACCTCTTCTCGCAGGCAGGCCCTCTGCTCCACAAGGGCCTCAAGGTCCCGAACGGCATCCTGCAGCGCCAGGCGCGCAGCCTCGGACTCCGCCTCCGCCGACTTCCTCGCGGCATCCTCCGACGCCCTCAGAGCGTCCATCTTCTCCCCCAGTGCCACACACCTGAGCCAACAAAAGGCAGCCTCAGGCCCAGCACGGCGGCCACGCGCCAGCCACCGCGAGACAGCGCCATGTTCCAGTCATGGAGACCTTAAACCATTGTCCCCGAAACCCAAGCTCCCCCATCATCAATCATCCCCTGGCCGTTGGGTTGTCAGCACACCCATCGCTGTGTCTTTCCAGGACATCTTCAAACAGAGGATTTCGTGGGGCCCATCGTCTTGTCTTTCCAACGCAGTCTCAAACAAACTACTGTAGGGTTTTAAGCCCTTCCGCACAGTAACTTAACGTTTGGCCTTTTCTGTGGAGAAAACGATAAAATAGATGACGCTCTTTTAATAAAATTCTTGCGAAGCAACGTAAAAATAACAAAATAACGCTCTGAAAAACAAAATGTGGAGCAAAAAGCGTAACGGTAAAATCTTCCGATGCGGAAGGGTTGAAAAATCTACGACACTGGTAGCATTTAGACTTGGGCTTTAGCCCACCTCGCCCTCAGTTCCCGCCGCCCCGCTTCGCTCTCCTCAAGCAGCTCCTCTGCCTCGGCCGCGTCCTGCCGCAGCTGCCGGGCCTGATCGCTGGCCGCGGACGCCGCTGCGCGCAGCTCATCCACCTGCGCCTGCAGGTCGCCCGCCTCCAGGCGCGCCTCCGCCAGGCCATTGGCGCCCTCCGCGGCCGCCCGCCGCGCATCGGCCGCCTCGGCCACCAGCTCCGACTCCCGCCTCGCCCAGCCCACGCCGTCCCGCGCTGCCTGCCGCCCCAACCCCGCGGAATCAAAAACGAGTGGCCGAGTCTAAGCACCCGCGCAACAGGGTTTGTGCCACCGGCAGCCACAGAGGCTCCAGAGAATGCGACCAAAACGGCGTGACATGCAATCGCGGACAGGCAGCAGCCCGTGAACGACTCACCTCTTGGGAGGGTGGCTCATTAGTGAATATGGGTTGTTCATCGGTGCAGCATCTCGCCGAACATTCCCCCGGCGTCACGACCAGACATGCAAGACCATACCATCCCCAGCCCTTCCCCGAAACTGATCTCCTGCCCTCCCACCTGTGCCCGAACCTCCTCCAGCGCCTCCTCCAGCTCGCGCACCCTCCCCTCCCTCTCCCCCGCCTCCCTGGCCGCCCTGCCTACCAGCCCCTCCATCTCCGCCTCGATCTTCGCCACGCGCCTCTCGGCCACCTCTGCGGCCTCCGCGCCCCTCACCGCATCCCTCTTGGCCTCCGCCAGCGCCCCCCGGGTCATCTCCAGCTCCTCTTCGGCCCTGAGCCTTCCGGCGCATGCCCCCTCCGCCTTGGCGGCCGCCCTGATCGTCCGCTGCTCGGCGATCATCGCCTCCCCCCTCGCCCCCGCCAGCTCATCCTCCAACCTCTCCACCCGCGATCTGAGCCTCCCGGCCTCTGCCTCCCGCTCCTTGGCCTCCCCTGCTGCGCGCCGCTCCTGGGCCCGCCGGCCCGCGCCGGTCACTGCGTCCAGAATCTCTTTCGCGCGCGCCTCCGCATGCCGCGCCAGCCGCGGATCCCGCCGCAGGACGTCCAGCAGCTCGTCGCCGCGCAGGAGGGCGTCCGCGCCGGCATGGACGCCATCGAATCCGATCCCCTCGGCCGAATCATCCACACGCCGCCCAACGGCGCTCCCCGGCAGGCGGTTCTCGGAGACGGGAAGGCCCCCCGCGACGCCGGTGATCCCAGCCATACCCCCACAGTCCCCTGATCCTGATTTCGGCGCTCCTTCTCGAAATCTCGCCGCCCGTGTTGTCACACTTCACCCTGCGGCTGGGCCCGACCGAGGGGATGCGGCCGCCGGTCCCCGCGCAGCTGCCATGCGATTTCCTCGGCTGGCTTCCGCCTAGATGCGATCGGTGGGCGTAGGTTTCGCGGCGGGTGCCGTCGGCACCGCGGACAAGGGCCGGCCTGACGAGGGGTGGTCCGCAAGGGTGGGGTGGCGGTGGGGGTGGGGCGGTTGGGACGTGGCGGCCACCAGTGCAGAGGGTCTTAATGGACGTGACGGGGTTCCGTGACTGCCACCAGTATCCTTGCCGCTCCGTACTTTAAGGGCGGGGTGGGGTAACGCCCGCCGACATTTTCTTATGCCGTGCAAAGCGCTGCCAGCTCCAAAATGCTTGTATTACTTGTGCGTTACTTGCATTATTCTATTCGCACTGCTTTCGACATCTCTGCAGCCGTGCTCGCAGCTTGCATGGGCAGTTTCGCGCCAGGGCCTGCGCGAATCATTTTGTGCTGCACATGCGGCCCAGGACAGTGTGCAAGCCTTCGGGGAGCAGATTCAGACCAAAAGTAAGAAATACTGACAGATTATGGCCACAACTCCATCTGCAGATTGCTGTGGGCCCATCCCAGGTGTGGATTTTGGGCAATCACTGGGAGTATTGCTCTCAACGACCTAGACTTGCTGACACGTGCAGTTGCAGCACCCGCTCAGATCAGCCAGATATGTCAACTGCCAGCCCGTCAAACTGTCTCACCAGAAAAGCACAAGTATCCATAATCCCAATGGCAACTCCACATGTCCAACCCTCCCTGCCAAGCTCGCCCAAATTGTCCACTCTGACAAATTTCAACACCCTCAGGTTGCCAGGACAATCACCCCAGGCCACCGCAAGGCAGCGTCCTGACAGCATCGCCCTGTGGCCTCCCCTTTGGCCACCCTTCCGTCCCCCCTGCCGGGATTGCAAGCTCTGCATCACGACCTGCCCCCTTCGTTCGAGCCGTGAGCGGCTGGAGTCACAGCACTGTGTCACTTCAAGCTGGTGCAAAGGCGTTTGCACACCGAACCACCGCTCCGCCCGCACTCCTTGCATGCCATCGCCAGGCGTCCGCTAGACCTGGCCATGCCACACGTTGACAGATGCAATCACACAAATGATCACGCGTTGGTGGACACACACATGCTTGGGGAACAATGCACTGTGCTGGCATCCACTGCCCATCATCGCCAGCTTGGCGAAAGGGCCTGTCTTGTCTTGTGGCGACAAGCATGCAATCGAGGGAATTGCACTGATCATGCCGTGGCCACATTATCTTGCTCCTCTTCTGTGCACCCGCTTCCTTCTCCAGCTGTTCCGTCAGCCCCCTCCCCGCCAACCTCCCCCTCGCGCGCATCCCTCTTGGCCTCTTCCTGCCGCAGCTTCTCCTCCACTGAAGCTTCCCTCTGGCGGTCAAGAAGCGGGGCGTGGGCCCCCAAGAAGCGCGAGGGCGCGTCCTTGGCGCCGGGCCCGAAGTTTGCAAGGCTGGAGAGCGTGTGCTGGACCAGCACCGCGCCGATCAGGCTCCTGTCCAGGATGTCCTGCATGGAAGATGAAACAATGGAAGATGCAATGAAGATGGTCTTTCAACCGAGATTTCAGAGCGTCATTGTATCCTGATTATGGCGGGAGGGACAAACTCTAGGGAAATGGCAACCAAGTCCGCACACTGAAACACCCCCCTCTGGCACGGGAATTTTAGTGATCCTACTTCCCAGTGTAAAATGAAAGAGCGCATCCTTGCAGCTGGAAAAAGACGGCCTTTGGCAGTAATTTACGCCTCGCTGTGCATGAATCAAGCTACATCATTAACATCGCACACTGATCGTGCATCACCGTACAATGCTGAAAACCGCGTTGATAACGCACCGATTCCTACGACTTTGACATTGTTTACTTGGTGGCACTTCGGTCAGTGTGCAAGCAGCTTGAAATTGACACGTGGACCCAAAGCACTGATGATGGCAAGTGCATCCACTGACGACCAGTCGACAAGACAGCGTCAGCCTACAACGGCCCATGCACCCCTTATACTGTAGCATATTCAAGCCTTCTGCATAGTAACGTAACGTTCGGTTCTTTCTTGCGGAGACAACAATAAAATAAGCAACGCTCTTTTAATCAGATTTTTGCAGAGCAAAGCAGAAAACCAAAAATAACGTTCTGAACAAAATGCAGAGCAAAAGCGAAACGGTAAAATTGTCTGGTGTGGAAGGGTTGAATATACACAGTAGACGTTGTCATCACAAGTTTGCAGCGAGTCTGAACTGTGGCGGACGCCACGGGAGCGCCTGGAAGCCACAGGCGGTGTGCGCAGCACAAACCTGCATGGACGTGTACACCCTGGAGTCTGCGAGGCGGGACTGTATGAACTGCAGGTTGGGCTCGTAGCCGACGTTGGTCAGGACGAGCGGAATCTGCCACAGCGCACATTTGCAACGCACCGACTCAGGCTCTGAATTGCGCCCGCAAAGGCAGCATGGAGATTCTGATTTAGACAGCTGGACTTGCGATTGCGCTGTGCTGAATCTCATTGAGTCGTTTATCTGCAGCGGACATTTGGGATTGACAAATTATCATTAAGCCAATTCATTGACAGTACTGAGGGCCCAGGCGCACCCATTTGCCAGTGACTCCTTTTGACACGTATTGATGAGCCAATGATGCGCTATGATTTTTGCGTTGGTCCACGTGGCGTGCAAGCAATAGCTTAGTCCGTTCGTCACTCCAACTATGCGCCACGTGACAAGATAAAACTGCACAAACATTGTGCAATCTCAACTGGGTCGCCAATGCAATCGGCGCAGGAGAACGTCTCCCATACATCGAAACATACACAAAACTACACAAAACTCTGACATCGACAAATGGGTGGCAAACGTGCAAGGGCTACAATTTATTTCTGACAGATGAACTGAAGTGTACATAAGTTCACAGAACAACTGTGTGCAGTGATAATAATAAGACTCGGATCAATGCAATCAGCCAGGGATTCACAAATGTTAGCGAGAACAAAAGAGCAAAGGTACTGGAACATAGTGGATAGAGTTATACCCGCTATCGGATTGGAGGCACATGTGGGTGCTTCATCACGTTCAGAATGACGTTTTGAATTGCAACCAAAGGCACTGGCGCACCTCAGAAGCCATTGCGTAAGATGGTTTCCCTGCGACATCTCGAACATCCAGCATCCTCTGGACTGTTTCTGGACCCTCCAGCCCCTGGCCAACCATCAGGAGGACAGCGGCCATGCAGCGCACCTACAAGAGTTTCGCACACAATGCAGTATCGTCACAACCCCGCAGTCTGTCCTCCCACACCCCACAAATGCAATTGGACGGAATGCCACACGACACAACATGTTAATTTCAGAGTGGAGTAGTTTTTAGGCCACAGAATAGTGAGTGGAGTAGTTTTTAGGCCACAGAATAGTGATGCAGGTCAGTTTTGAGCTTATGAGAGACTGCCTTTCATAGATTTTCACATTCGACAGGACTTGTCATGCCATTCCCTGGATGTTCATCATGAAGCAGCACACTTGTCGCCAAAGGAAGTTACCACCCAAAGCAGTACAGGCGATTAATGCCAGTCTACACAGGTGCATCTTCAGTCCCCATTCCGTCGCTCTCATCCACTGCATGCTGCTTTGTCTTTCCAATCGCTGTTTCGCACTATGCCTCCATTTACTGCATGCTAACAAATGTTTCAGGGGCTAGCTGTGTCTCCACTCCAGAGTCTTGTCCGATACACCACTGATCAATGCGCGACTTTTTTGACAGCATCCTGCTCCTTACAGGTTGTGAGCAATACTAGTTCGGTCCAGTGCACCTAACGGTCCCCAAACGAATGAAAGCTCACTTGGTGCCACAAGAAGCCTGTACCCCGGACTGTGAGGACGTGAAAGTCCCGGTCACCCCATTCAGGCAGTGCCAAGGGTTCCACTCGGCACTCCATCACCTCCCTCACATGGTTCTTCATGGCTTCAATGTTCACCTGCACACGAAGCCATGACAACAACCAACTATCACCCACAGGAAAGCCACCTGCACTTGCTTTTGCACTGTTCTGTGCAATTACCAGAAGCACTGGTACGAACATGGTGTTTGATGGTGTCTGTTTATTGCACATACTTGCTCAATGCAAATATCTATTGTCAGAGAGGGCAGCCGACGTCCCGCACAGCACTCGACTCCAAACCACCTTTTCTGAAAATGCAAGACTTTGTATGGAGAATACTGTACACTAATACTACCTCTGTCCAGAGGAAAATGAAACAGTGTGGCGAAGCCAATTTACAACAAGTGAGCAAAGTTAAATGTCATGTACAATGTCAGATTCAGAAAGACCAGGTCCTGAAACTCCAGCAACCATCATTTTCGCGACCACATATGGTTCTTCAGTCCATTTCCCAGGTCTCCCAATTGGGGCACGTTGGACAGTAACCAGCAGTCAACATAAGTCCCCTCTATCACCGATTCCGAACTTACAGGAAAGAGTCCAAGTGGCTTTGGCATCTCTATCCTTCTCCCATCGTGCTGTCCACAGGAAGGGACCGTTCCGCGACACATTTGCAGGGGTTCAGCAGAGTGTGAAATTTTCAAGTTATCAGCAGGAGTGGCACCAGTTCAAAGTAATGCCATTTGTGCAATGCATAACCATTCTCTAAGTAGATTTCGAAAAATGCAATATACTGATTGGGAGTGCTGCCAGTCGATCTTCAACAGAAAGAATGAATATTTGATAAGAATTTTGTGACACAAACAAAATATTTGATTTAATTCTGGCCTGAGGAGGTAGCATATTACTATGTACCGGCAGCAATAGCAATACCAGCTGGTCATCTCCACTGGCAGTTCGCAGCCGCCACGTTGAGCCAATTCGAATCTGCTTGGGCTGAGCTCGTCAAAACATGACAAAATGATGCCCCGGCAGATGTTCTGCGATGCCAACACTTCAGCTGTGATCGCTGCCATTCTGGCACCAATCATTTGAAGAAAACCAAGTCACGAACAAGCGAGACACAGGCGTTGGCCAGTGCCATGACAAAGGCACTGCACCAGGCACTGGCCCTGACAACACACGGCCTGCTCCACAAACAAAGCCTTTGAATTGCTGAAAGAAAATGTCAAAGTAACTTGCTGTTACTTCAACCTTCCATTTGCATTTGTCAAGCAAACCAGAGTTTGGATTGCCCACAAGGGGGTTTACCAATTACATGGCCTGCTGCCGTTTTAATGACAATCTCTTCATAAAGATGTCTTGCCAATTGCATTCCTATGCACCTTGCAGAAATTCCGGAAGTCATGTGTCCCGCAGAAGAGTCCTGCTGCTTGCTGCATCGCTGCAACGTCCAGAGGTGAGTGGCGCTGTGATACAATGAAGTATTTGTACTCCCTGTACTTTGCATCGAACCTGGAATGACAGCAAGCAACTCTTTGAACAGCACTTCATAGTCTGAGGAGTTGAGGGAAAGCATAAACTCAAAAGTGCAGTGAGGAGCAAGGGAGAGTTAGAGCTGGAGGCAGACAGGAGTAAATACAAGGAATCATGCCTGCACACAATGAATGCAAGGGTGCACATGCATGCCATGGAAGCTTTCTCATTTCATTCCTTCTGTTCAAACTTTTTGACAGTGATTTCCATGAAAATTAGGAATGTGTTGCAGTGCTTTCATTTGCAATGTGCTGGCAGGACCAAAGTATTGTGCATAATCACTTATCAATCCACTATGTCTAGTATCAGTGGATATTATGTGCATCCATTGGACTTACTGATTGACAGCCAAATGTGCACAGATCCATAGGCATTCAGGGTATAGCCATAGGTTGCATCCTGTGCCTTACTTGCAATGCATTATGAAGGAGCAGTCATGGCTTTGATGAAATACACCCGATGCTAGGTATGCCTTGCAATCAGCATGCCTGAAAATAGCAATTACAACCTGTGCAGTTCATGCCAGGATGCTTAGTCACACTGACAGCTACTTCTATCATTGTGTTGCTCAGTCTGTGCTAAAGCACAATCTTCATGTGTCTGGGTATGCCAGACACCCACATGGCAAGCTCTTAACTATGGCCGCAACCTCCAAGACAGTACCAAATGATGACAACCTCCGATGTCCTCTGAAGCAGCCCCCAGCTCCACCATCAGTTCCATTTACAAACCCCATTCACTGCTGGCTATTATGCTCCCTTGTAACCGTTCATTGCAGCACTTTGTCGTTTTCATCAAATGCGAGTTCTTGAAACAGGATTGCAACACGAAGGAGCCGAATTACAACCAAGAACACTCTGTGAAGCGCAACATCAATCAGGGCACTTGGATTCATAAGGTTTGATGCACTGCTTGGGAACACAAGTGAACCTTTAAACAAGTGGGCACCTCGCATTGAAGTCCTTGTCCACTGGCGTCCAGCCCACCACACGTATATCTGGCGGGAGGCAGCTGTTCAGCACCGCAGGGTAATCGAGCTCATCCGTGACATCCACCTCTGGCCCTTCAGCATCCCCTTTCGATCGGACACACAGCGACACGACCTGGGCAACAGCTGCAGTCACCCAGCCGTCAAAGTCAACACCAGACAACACCGTTTTGGAGATAAGTGGTGCCAGCTGTACCGTATAGTACCGTGTGGTGCCACATAGCACTGTGCTTTCACGACAGAAACCGGCCCACAGTGCCAATTCTTGACCTTACCCTCCAGGAATGCTGTCTTTTCATATGTTGAAGAATGACAAAGCACTGCCCTTGAGCCCAATAAGCACTCCCACCTTGGCGAACAGTGCATTAGAACTACATTCTTCTTCCGGGAGCTACTGGTCTGTTGGCAGTTTGGTTTCAAGGTACACCATCTGCTGCAGAGACTACGATTGCAGCAACAAATACAACAGCTACTTGGACGCCCTCATACAGACCCTTTGCTGTGCATCCATTGCCGCTGTTCGTGCACCTCTATGCTGCATGCCATTCCTGCTGCACTCACGCACGTCTGCTTAACCTTCCACAGGTGCATGAGAGTCTAACAGGGTGCTTGCTTGGAAGTGTGTCAATTGCATGACAACATTTCCTTTGCATTGTCCAAGGTGTGCTATGCCCCCACCAGTTCTCTCGCACTCTTGACTATGGCAACACTTTAATACCTGCAACAAATCTGTGCTGTACACAATCGACAAGCATCAACACGATCCGGGCTTTAAATGCCTCACTTCTAGCTCACAATCCACTCCCATTATCCCCAGGGGTTACCTGACACAGCGCACTAACACCCTTGTCTGTTCTGCCACTGCGGGAATAGAACACACTCTTCGAGTCTGCATCTTCCGCGATCAGGCGGGTCCTTCGAAGAGCGTAAAAGAGCTCTGCCTACCACACAGACACAGCCGGTCAGCATTGGCCTGGCACGACTGTACAGCACATCAACAGGCCCTGATGGGCACTGTTCTGTTTAGCACACTCAAATAGCAAACACGCAAATATGCGGTGTGTCAATCGCTTTGTGTTGCATCATACCGTGTGCAGTGATATAAGCTCCTTTCAGTCCGCTGTCTTGTGGATTCCACAAATGGATATGACTTGTCAGCATTGTGGGGCACTACAATGTCTTTTGGTGGCGGCATCTCATATCTCCTCATTGATGTTATCCAGTCCAATTGTGAGAATCGCACAACACTGGCTCAGTAGTCAATAATGGCAGCCTGTGCAGACACAAGGCTACTGTCTATCAGGCCACTACTACTTGTATCCCATGTCACACATCTCTGCATTCTAGGGTGCAAACTTGGGTGTTGTTTGCTGTTCCGCGTGGTTGCGCCAATGTAATTGCGAAATTTTCGCCCTTCCAATATGCAACAGCCCAAGTACCGATGGCAAACTGGGTGACTGTTTACAGGCTGTTGCTTTGGCCTTTCCCCTGTTGAACACCCTGCAGCACTGCTCATGAGGAAGCTACCAGCATTCAGTGCATATAGCCTCACTCTTGCACATTCTGGGATCAGCTGCTTTTGGTGTTGACAGTGTCATTCATTGTCATGCAGTTGCAAAGGTAGCGTACTGTCAATTGGACACTGAGCACCAAGTTTAGGAAGTGGAACAGATTTCAACAAGCCGTGCACAAATGCAGGCTAACCTTGCACCAACAACATGACAGATATCGTGCTCTCCTTGACGTGAATGTAAGCTCAGTTAGGAGAAGCAGCCGGCCCACAAGCACAACCAACTAACAGATAGCAGGAGGATGGAGGAAAAGGTCTGTGAACAACGCGAAACTGACTAAACCGTGGGAGGAGATAATTCCATGTGTTGAAAGATACATTGTGTCCAAACAGAGCACATGGGACGTGCAATAGGGCATATTCCTTCTTGGCAAACATTCTTGCGAGCATCTGCCCAGGCAAGGAGGATAATGCATATGTCTCCAACAGCAGGAGGAGGCACACGGCACACAGCGGCATGTACGGCAGTGTGGCTTGCTTCAGTGAAGCAATCCATTAGAACCAAAGCTGTGAGACAACAGGAGATCAAGGAAGATGATCAATGAGCCTGAGGAAGATGAGCCACAGGAGGGGGACCCACGGAAGCAAGAAAGTTATGGTCATCAGATAACCTGGTGGGGTCGTACCTCAACAGTTTGGTTCATGTGTGCCTGGGCCGCAAGACCATGGTACCTCCAACCTAAATATATGATCTTCAGTGCAATGAACCGAGTGCGATATTTTGACATCGAAAATGGCCTTCCTGTGTGAACCATGACATCATACACATACCTGTCAGTCCAAATTTCAGCACCCTTCATGGCACAGAATGCACAAAACTGATTTCACACAGTGTACAGATTACTTTGTCCTCCCCCCAACAGTTCTGCCCCTGCTAGAAAATGCCATACTGGCATGATAACATTGGTTCAATGTTCATGTGGCACTACAGATTGCTGGTGCTGGTGCAGCATTCACCTCGCTGCCTGCGCTGCCTCTTGGAGGGGCGATTGGCCTCATCTTCCATGCCAACTGCAGAGTACAGCCACTGGTGAGTGTGCAGCAGGTTTTTCGTCTGAATCCAGCAGAGTAGGGCTTTCGGTCCCTTAGTATCTCACAGCAAAGTTTTATTCTGGGGCATACACAGAAGTTCTCACAGCCTCTGGCCTCTGCAGCTTATTCCTTCATGTCGGTGGGACTCAAACCGCAAATTAGAGGACAATGATAAGGAGAAGGGACAGGAAACAATTTCGTCAGCTACTTATTGCAACACGTCACAAACAGTCCACAGCCTCAACTGTGCAGGTGTTCTATGCAAGTGTTGGGACATCAGCAAACTTGCGCTAGATGCTACTGGTCTTTCATCACATTCTTTTTGCCAGGGTTTGATTGCTTCCATTTTCGTTAATCTAGTCGATGGCATTCGCCAAAGTATTGCCAAAGCAGGCCACAATCCGAGGCAGTCGTCTGACGGTCGCAGGTTCCAAATGCCAACTGAGTGTTCCATGAAATGGGAAGTTTCCATCGCATTCTTTAAGTCCAATAGCAATCAACCACAGAAGTCTTGCACAACATCCTTTAAGGGGTGAAAATACGAATGATCTCCATCAAGTGGATCGCCGAATGCATGAATAATTCCGCTCAGTTCAAATTGCTATCGAAAGGCGAATCCGGCTGCCGAATCCCGGCATTTGCAGAGCAGCGCGCAAGCAAGTCTGCCGGCCAATTTCTGACGTCAGCCTTCCGCTTAATGACACACGGCGAAAAACGCCCAGTCCCAACAATCCCAAAAGGTCCACCCCGCCCACCCAGCAGGTGCGATGCCGCCTCGCCGCCGTCCTCAGCCGCATCACAGGCCTCCGCCAGCCGCCGCAGTTCCGCGGCCAGCGACGCCCTCCCGGCCCATCCCTCCCCTCCCTCCGGGGCCAGCATCTCCTCCAGCTCGTCCAGCAGCCCGCGATCGTCGGCCATCCCGCCGGCGATCCCAGCAGGCCGCCCGATGCACGGGGCAACCAATCGGCGGCGCGGGTGCCGGGCGGGGGATGGGATGCCGCGCGGGCAGGGGGGGTTGGGCGCGAAGGTGGGCAGGCGCCAGGCGGCGGTTACGGCGGCGCGCAGCAAGCGGGAGGCGCGGGTCATTGCCTGCGAGCAGGGCGACCCAAGCTGCCGCGCGCTGCTACCCCTCCTGCGATTTATCGCAATGCGGATATCGGAGAGCGACGTAGGCACTGTGTGGTGCAGTCTGTATCCGTATCCATGGGCGGCTAGGTCGGCTGCCATGGGGTGCAGGGAATGGAGCTCGTTAGTGCAGAATTAATGTCCTATTAGTGTTCAATTAATGTCCTACAGCGCACCGGCCAAGCCCCGCTGCAGCTTCGCCCTCTCCAAATAGAGCCCACCGCTACCCAGGCACACCAACGCCCGCGTGTGCCTCGCCCCCCCCCCCTTTTGCAGGTATGTCCCCCCCCCGCGGCGCTGCCGTTCCCTTTTCCGTTGCGCCGCCGAATCGCAGAAAGGTGCCGGTCTCCGCACTGGAGGCGGGCCACCGGCTTAGCAGCCCGACAGCGTGGCGCGGAGTTGGACAGCGGAGACAGGCCCAGATGGGCCGGGCCACCCGCTGGATCTTGCGGTCAAGGCGTTTCTTGCGTTAGGGCGGATGTCAGAGAACGGTCGTAGGGTGCTGTCAAGCCGGGCGCAGCGCAAGGCGGCAGCCGTTGTCCTGTGGCGTCATCCAGGAATCACGGGCAGCGTGGTTGTAGGCGGGGACGGCGGCCTCCCTCCGCAATGGCGGCGCGGTGCTGAACCTCGCGGCGTTCTGACATTTTTCCGTAATCGCGCTCGGAGTTGAATTCTGTCTCCGAGCAGACCTGCTCACGATGGATGGGCACGCCGTGCTTGCGCGGAGCGAGCGCCGCGGGTCAGGCGCGGTGGCGGCATGGGTTCGCTGGCGACGCTTCCATGCATTGATGAACTGCTGATTGCAGGGGATCTTGATGCGGGTGTCTCTGCACGTGCGCTCGAGTCGCTGGCTGGCTGTGGTGCCCATGTCGCAGTGGAACATCGCGGAACGTTCTCGGCTGTTGGGCGCTGATCTTGGTTGGAGCACACATGCCGGGAACGGTTTGACGCCCTTGGACCAACACGTGTGCTGGTGGCCACCCTGTGCAAAATCAGGGGCACTGTTTGTTGGCCCGCAAATAGGTTGCGGAGCTCTCCCCGCTGTGGATTGGCCTGGGTCTGTTCCTACCTTTGGAGCGGCTCTGGCTCAGACGCGACGGAGAGTGCGCCAGCCCATGTCCCCGCAGGAACGGGGCCCGCTTAGAGTTTCCGTCTGGCAGCTTCTTGCCGTCTCAAATAGCGCTCTGGCCGCGGATCTTTGTCGCTCTCGCCTATCGCCTGCCGTCCTATCTCGCTGACTCGATCTCATCCCGCCCGGCCCTCCATGCGGCCCAAGCCACTGTGGCAGCGGCAGTTGCGCCCTCTGTCCTGCTTGCAAAGCTTTGCCGCACCGCACCACTGTCCAGCGTCCTCCTCGCCACGTGGAGCGATCGTGCCTGTGGAGCTGTTTCCCGGTGACAGTATCTGAAGTTCAGAGACAGTAGCTGGACGAGAACTTCGTTCGCGCACCCGGCCGCTTCCGTCTGACGACATTGTGCCTTCGCTGTCGCAGGTGCTGGGGGCGTCCTCTCTCCAACTTGGGGCTCGCGGCGGCTGACCGTCACCACCAACCGCGCCATGTCGGCCCCGGACACCCCGTCTGCGGGAGAATGCGACTTTCAGTCCACTCCCAGTGGCCTCCAGTTCTGCGACCTCAAGGAGGGGCAGGGGCCTCCTCCCAGCGCAGGGGCCAAGATCAAGTGAGGCCGCACGCGCTTCCCTTTTGCGCAGCCTTTCTCTTGTGCCGAAATTGTCCCAAATTTGGCTGGAAGACGTGTTTGCAAATCCACTGGTGTTGATGCTCCGTGCTGTGTGTTGGTCCCAAAGCACATGGAAATTTGTGCAACACGAGGGAGATGAGTCTAGCAGACACTTTTGCTCGCCCAGGGGAGGGGTTTGCCTCTTCATTGTGTTACAGAATTCCTTTCTGTTTGGCAAATGGATGCTCAATGGCGAATTTTCGTGGGCATCTGTCAGTCTACGATCAGAGGAAGACGCTGGCTTTTAATAACATGATTTGATTCTGGTTTGCCTGGTATTTTTCCGTTTATTTCTTGTACCCTCATAGGCCAGTAGAATATGACCTGCTAATGTAGCCACCAAGTCGTTGGTGGCTGCAGGCGACACAACCTCTGTCACCACACTGCTTGCACTGATACGTCCATCTGTGCTCACACCCACTGTTGTGTGTGCGCCCCTCCTTGCAGTGCACACTACACAGGCCGCCTGTTCAGCAACAACAAGGTGTTCGACTCCAGCTACCAACGCGGCTCGCCTCTGTCCTTTAATGTTGGCGTGGGCCAGGTTATCAAGGGCTGGGACATGGGCATTTTGGGCGCCGAAGGCATCCCACCCATGAGGCCCGGCGGCCTGAGGAAGCTCAAGATACCAGCGGAGCTTGCGTATGGGTCAAAGGATGTGGGCAATGGGCTCATCCCTCCAAACTCAGTGCTGGTCTTTGATGTGGAGTATGTTGGCTTGGCATGAATGGGCCATGGGGATTGCAGTCCATGGTGGGTGGTCCAAAGGGTTGCAAAAGGGCAGGGGGTGTGACACGTCATCAGCATGTGGCTGGACATGGATGTGACATTCTCTGAACATTGGTGTCACAGTTTCTCTTTGTTGTATTCGTGGCACAGCTTTGCTTGTTTCAATGGGGTAATGGATGTTGCTGGTGGAGTGGAGGCACCCTCCCTGGGTTGGTGCAGGCACAACTGGACATTTCCGATGTCAATTGTTTTCTGTTGCTGTGCTGTTGCAGTGAATTGCACCAGCTTCCTTGCATACTTGTGTTTTGGGTGATGCTATGCGCTTGCACGTTGCAGGCGATGTCAGGCAGACAACAAATGATGCCACGGCATGGCAGCGCAATGGTGTTGTGGGTTACTCTGTGGCAGTGTCCTGGTGTGTTCAGTTTGGCTTCAGGGATGGCACAGATCCGGCACAGATACCAAGGCGTCGTTTCTATGTGCAAGGATATATGGGCATTGTCTTGTTCCCTGGGTGATAGCCAGACAGAGGCAAGGCAAGGACAGTGGCTGGCTTGAGCACCATCGCTGGAAGATCAGATGCTCAATACTTTATCTACTTCCACACACCCCAGCCCCGTTGTTGTGGTGTGTTAAGCTGTATCCTCTAACCACTGCATGCATTGGAAGCTGTGACAGTGTTGTAGGCAATGAAGTGCAGCTTCAATTATGAAACGCATTGGTTAACCTCGTGCGGGCCCTCACACCTTGATTTCTTAATCTCTTACCTGTGCTGACAGCAAGTCTGGTTATAAGACTTCTTGGGGAAAGCAGTGCTCTTGCAACACATCTATAATAGACAGCAAATGCACTGGGGCAGAAGGGACCGATTGACTACCTAGCATGCAGGTAGTTTGGGGCACAAAACAGAGGAAGCATAAACTGCAGGGTTAAGGATGCGTACGTGCATCAAAGTTTATGTCAGAAACGTGACAAAGCATCGGAAAGATAGCAAAACTTTTCGATGTTCCTTGCAAGTTGGTCAAGAGGGTTTCACGCTGAAATGGATGAGAGATGCACATGTGCAGGGCAGAGCAAAATGCACATTCCGAACGCCTTTAATGGGCATTGCCATTGGGAACAGCAACCAGTTGGGGTAAATACAGCCCAGTGAGTCGCCTGCTTTGTGGCAAGGTCACCGTCACCACGATTGGCTGCGACCTATTGCTGTTGGCGTACACACTGTTGGCACTGGAGGCGTGGGAGCCAGTGAAAGATGCCGCTTGTGCCACTGAAGTGTTGGGAGGCTTCCCGTACCGTGTCGGGCAGGCCGGCGCTCGATGCGCAACGGTGGGTGCCGCCCATCGACTGCAACACTGGAAACATACACTAGACATGTTTTGCCGCTTGAGAGGTCACAGTCGGCGGCTCACAGAAAACGGCCTTTCCCCTGTCAAAGTCGAGGAAGTGGTTTCCAATCGACTTCTTGTTGTGCGAAAGGGCTGTCACTTATGAGGCGATGCAGACTGCTTCGAAATCTGAAGTGCTTCGCACACGGTTCGAGCTCCACTTTGCTGCCGTTGGTGTGACATTATCATGATACATGGACTGAATGGAGGGCCTGGCCTTACAAGGGACATTGCTGTTCGGGATCTGTCTGCAGCTCCGTTGCCCCCAGCTCGTTCCCAGACCTCCTCCACCGGACAGAAATAATATCACTCCCTGCACCAAATCGGCGACTGCTTGCACCAAGTCACGTCCACACTTTGTCCTAACCTTAATTTTAGGGTTAGGTTTAGTTTCAGGGTGAGTTTTAGGGTTAGGGGTAGGGGTAGGACAGGTTTAGGTTTAGGTTTTAGGGTTTACGTTTTAGATTAGGTTAGTTTGGACGGAGTTGGACATGATGTGCACGTGACTTGGTGCAAGCAGCCACCGATTTGGTGCAGCCAGTAATTTTATGCCCACCGGACAGCTTCCCCAGTGGCGAACCAGCAAACGACCTGTCACCGTCTCTCCCCTCCCACCAACCTAATGCTCTTCTTTTGATGTAATACATTGGAGTTAGAAAAAAAAAAAAAAACTAATGCTCTTCATTGTCCACTAACCATTCAGCCCCCCACCCGCCACCACCGTTCCCCACCGCACACGGTGCCCAAATAACACCCAAATTCCAAACGCCCAAAAACCCTGTCGCCAGGCAACACCCCCCGCCGCGCCCATCCCCCCGCCACCGCACGGAAGGCCGGCGGGCCGCGCCCCGCGTCGGCAGGCCAGCGCCAGCGGCCGGCCCTCGGGCGCCCAAGGTACGGCAGAAATTATCCCCGTCCGCCGCCGCTCCGCCACAGCCCCCACAGCCCTCGCGCTGCCGCCTCTCCCTGCGAGCGGCCCGCCGGGGCCGCCACCGAATCTTTGGCGAGTTTTCTTGATCTTGTCCCTCGACGCACAGCGGGATGCTGCGTTTGGCTCCTCCGCACGGCGACGGATCGGCGCGGGAGGCGTCGGAAGGGGCGCGCTGTGAATTGGTCGCGTCGCCAGATTTGTCCGGTCGACCTCCTTGGGGAGGGGTGGGAGGCTGTGGACAGGAGTCCGCGCCTGGGGATCCGCCGGGTCCCCGTGGCACCGGCAGGATGGCCCTCTGGACACCGGCCGTCTCGTGAGATGGCGCTCGGCAAGGGAATTCGAGAATGGCGCCTCCCGGTGGCGGGCGGGCTGCCTGGGGTCAACCAGGGGTTGTTCAGGCTGCGGTCGATGTGACCCTGAGCGTGGGGAGTTGCCGCGGCGCCTGGCTCGGAAGCCGACGGCTTTTGGCGTGCCAGGTGGCCTGCGCCTAGCCCTCCGTCTCCTAGCCGACCGCACAGGCGCTCGAGGCGACCGCGCGTACACTCCTAACTCTCGGCCTGCCTTGCCGTTTCCTTGTCTTTGGCGGTAACTACAAAGCTTGAGCGCCTGGTCCCATATTTCAGGATCGATGCCCCTTCAATTGTCGCTTAAGGCGCATTTTGTAAGCAAAGGAATTTAGTTCCTCGAGCCCCGCTGCCCTGCCCTGCCCTGGCCTGGGCACCCATGTTTGCCTGCCAAGCGGAGATCTCCTCTGTCTTCGCTGGCTCCCGTCGAGAGGGTTGAGGTCCAGGCGGCTTGTTTGCTTTCTGGCTTTTGTTGGGTTAGGTATTGGGTTCTGGGCCTCTGCTCTTGTGTCAAGAAACTCCTGCGCAGGCCTGTGACAGGTCTGGGCTGCGAGGCTAGCAGCAAACTGTTGGGGAGCTGCTGGGGTAGACACCTTGTGCACTTGAAACCTATGCTCTTTTCCAAGGTGGCAGATTGTATGAGCTGTAGTTGCCAGCAGGCAACAGGCAGTAATCCATTTTGCTACCTGCTGCTTGCCCCCAGTTTGGTTGGATGCTTCCCTTTCTCCTAGGTTGCCGATCTGTATCCCAATGTCCCTGTACACGACCGTCATTTTGATTCAAGGTTGAATGAGGTGTGTAGGCAATTGATAGTTTTGTTTCCCAGTTGCATTATGTTGCTGGGCACATATCGCATGTAAAGGAACGTTGGAGCATGACGGAGGTGTGAGTATATCTGAGTATTCGTAATCTATAATCGTTATGAGTTGCATGTGCAGGTGAGCCTGCATGGATGGCAGCTGTATGTGAATATGCAAGGGAACGAAGCAACTGCCACAGTGTTTTCAACAGGGTTGCCTGCATTATTAATTGAAACATACGATGATTCTCTGTGATCAAGACCTGGTCACATCTGTATTACCACTCGTGCACGTGTAGCATACCAGTCTATTGAAACTCCACGTTTGCATTGCCGTGATGTGCCTTGGCGTCTTTGTGGTTTAGATGGACTTGTCTTGGGTGGACAAGCTCAAGGTCGTCGACCTGCGTAAAGAGCTTCGAGAAAGGGGCGTCAGCGGGGCAGGCAAGAAAGCTGAACTTGCGGATAGGTTGAAGCAACACTTGCTGAAAAATGCGGTGAGTCTAAGTAATCAAGAAATGGGAAAGAACACAGAGAGTTGAGAAGGAAACGGAACCACATTCTGACCTGTGTTCTTGCAGTTAGGTGCTGCTTTTCAAGAGAGTCACAGTGACATGGCACACTGCAATTCGGTTAATTGCAACATCTATTGTTCTTGCATTGCATTTCAGCACATGTGCGATGCAGTTGTGTTCATGTTTTGCTTTTCGATTCAATCCAAAATTTGCTGAAATGCTACAACTGCGCAATGAGCTAATTGCCATCATCAGAAACTCAAAGATCCTTTCTTGCTCATTGTGTCTTTGTTGTTTCCGGTTTCTATCTTGTTCTTTGTGTATACAATGGCATAGCCGATATACGGAGAGCTGAGAATTGGCAGCATATCAGTGGTACAAAGGAATCAGCATCACAGGCATCAGTGTGCACGCGAAACTCACATAACATAAAATGCAGGCCTTGTCCAGACTTGCCTGACCTTGGATGTACTGGCGAAAAAGTGGCCATGGTGCAAACCCACACTGGCCACCAGTTAAGAATGGGTTTCGTTGTCTGAAACAAAAGTTTGTAAACAAAAACATCAACAGACTAACTGGCGCAGCACTGGCCTTAGACGATAAGTGACCAGGAAGATCGATGACTCTGTCAGTGGTGATGGATTGAAGACCAGCATGGCATCTTCACAACGAAGTGTCCCCTGGCCCCCCCCTCCCCCCCCCACCACCCTCCACCCTAGGGAAAGGGGCAAAATAGAGAATGGCTTCCTTTATTGACATTGTCCTGGTGATCTCTGGTGCAGGCTCCAGGGGAGCAGACTGGCCAGATCACCACACCAGCGCAGACACCGCCTCCTGGACAAGAAGACAAGGACCCAAATCCAACTCCAGCACCAGGCATGGCTGTCTTTAACCCAGCCCCAACCCGCTTGTTTGATGCACCGATGAACGAATTGTGTGGCATGTGTCTTGACTTTGTGGTGTTGCATGTTTGTTTGTTTCTTCGTTACACGGATGCATCGACATGAGGTCACGGAAGCAATCAATGTAGCATACCAATCCAGTGTGCAAGGGGCACGTCTGGGCCCAACTATGTAACCGAAAGCACGCCTCCAATTGCAGCCACGGCTGCCACCAAACCCTGAGAAAAACCCCCACGAAACAAGAGAAAATATCTGCAAGCCAGAAATCAGAGTATTCATCTATTCCTCGCTCACCTCCTTTGCTCGAATGCGGTCACTGAGCTCAGAAAAGCTCCCAATCGGCCGCACTGTTTCCAAAGTAGATTGAGTGGATTTGACAAAACAATCTCTTTCGAGTTCAGCCACTTGGCATGCAAGTCGGTTACGCCATTGCAATCGTGGTGGTGCGTGTGGATTGTGGGGAATTCAACTTGGCTTTGTTCCACTCACCGATTGCTTTCAATGGTATGTGCAAGGGCGATAGTACTGGGTCCATACAAGGGATGAATTGTAGCTTGTGAACCTGTTCGAGATATACGGGCACAAGGCTGACAAAGTATACTAATGTTGTTTCATGCAAGTGGATGAGCATCAGCAGCGAGTAATACACCACTGCGAAGACAGGGCGGCACTTGTGCTCTTGAATGTGATGTAATGTTGTGTCATTAAGGAAATGAAAAAAACAAACACCACATTATATCAACACCGGCGACAGCAACAGTGACTCTGACCACCTTTTTCCTAACCCTTGCCTTTTCCTTTCCATCACCTTTCAATTCTTTGTCGCTTTGCTTTCCTTGCAATTTCACCTGCTCCTCTGGTTTCGGGTGGACCACGTTGGCCCTTGTATGGTATGAAGAACCAGGAGCAAGAGACTTGGAGATTACATGTTGTGTACTCCCCATGCACACGTGCGTGTTGTCAACGGATGGATGCAGAACCATGTATATTGGAGGTTTGCTTGCATGCAATGGATGGCTGGTGATATATCGTGTTGGACCGCTGTGTGAAATACGATCAACATATTACTGATCGATCACCAGTGCCATCCCCATCATTCACAACACAGATCTTCATTTTGTCTGGTACTGAACAATTCACACGATTATTGTGTGCATCCTACGATGCCCCCTGTTCAGCCCTTTTGAAGCCATTGTATGATCCAACATGATTGCTTGTATCTGGCAGCGGCTTTGTCAAAATTTTGATTTGATGAGCAACGCAGTTGAGCGGACCTCGAGCTTATGCTTAGTAGTAAATAATGGGCATATTTGCTGCCTTATTGGCGGACGCCACAGTTCTGCAAGAAAGGCCGTGTTGATGGTGGTGGATGTTGGTGGGGTGGGGGTGGGGGTGGGGGGGTGGGGGGGGGGCGGGGGATAAATCTAGCATGGTGCTCCTGCCATAATCGCTCTTTGCTTTGACAGTTGTTTCCTGTCGAATTAATGCCAGCTCCCCACCAAACGTTCCAGAGTGCTGCTGGCTGGCATTGATGGTGTTGTCCGTACCCATGTTGGAGTTGCCTAGTGTTCAACTGTGGCCTGCTGATCGAATATCCTTATGCCACTCTGTGGCTTTCTGGTAAAACTCATTGTATTACACAACATGTCAGGTTGATTGCATTGGAGAGAAATGGCCATTTCAGGACAGGCTAAGTTCTCTTCTTGAGACTCATCTGCACTTGAACCATGCCCTGCACCCTGCAGTGCCCAAGCCCAGCGCAAATGTTGCAGTCGTGAAAAAGCCAGAGGCGATGGAAGATGTTGCCACCCCAGCTCCAGTGGCACACCAAGAAAAGGTGCGCAGACACTTACAAGTACAGATCAACTCCTTTGGTATCTCACAGATCTTGTGCACAACATTTGCATCCGGTTGTATAGATCCATATACATATGGACACATACAATGCATCTCAGCTGGGCTGCAAGATGAGTGACCTCACAGGAATCTGTCGCCTGCCTGCTTTCTGCTCAAGAGGTTTAGGTAATTAGATTAGGCTGCAGTCATTTGGTTGTCTCACCCATTTGTGGATCGAGAGAGGGCAGTGCTTTCCTCGTTGATCCATGTACCAACAATATCTAAGTATTCACCTCAAGACAAGGCCACACACATACTGCTGCATGCTATAGATTATTGCTCACTCACTCAAATGTGAGCAACAAGTCGTGTCCTGCGATGCTAGCATCAGAAGTGTTGGAGCCCTGTGAAATGTAGCATCTTTTGGTTCACGAGTGAATAGGCCTGTGGAATTAAGCCACCTTCCCAGAACAGCCAACTAGATGATCGTGCCAGCCATGCCTGTGCATCTCCTCAGAGGTGCTTGGAACATAACTGTTGGACACCTGTAGATCTTTCCCACAGAGAATTGCGTTGTCACAGTCTGTTGTTCAACTCTAGCATTGAGTATTATTGTGTTGTATGTTGTTTGTGTTCCTATATTCCGTGTAATGCAGTCTCTGAATCTCTTTTGTGAAAAGCGACAAGCCTGTGCCTTTACAAGGCAAATGGTTGGGCTCTAGTCCTGTTGACAGATGTCATTGTATCCACATGTTGACAATTGTCCACAAGTTGTTCTGAATGCAACATAGTTTCATCCACAGTCGCACATTGGATCAATGGTGCTGTGCCTCTGGCCAGGCTGCCACGATGGACATCCCACAGGGCAGCGCTGAAAAGGTCGAGGTGGATGGACAGCTGAGCACAGGGGACGGAGCAGAGGCAGAGAAGGAAAGAGGCCACAAAGCATCAGCCGATGGCAAGAGCAGGGTGCTAAAAGAGACCCAGGTGCATGTTGTTGGACTCGCTGTATGCACAGTAGTTGAGGGATTGGACATTCTTATGCACACATTGTTTTCTTTTGTTCAGCGAGGAGTGATAGGTGCAAAGCATAACCTGGCCTTGTGTTGCTCCACATGGAATGTAGGGAAATTCAGGTGAGCACCATCAATGCTGAATCAGCACAGACCGCTGATCGTAGCAGCATGGACACAACTGGTTAGCAGCAGTGTGGTTCATGCTGAGAGGATGGTATCACAACCTCCTGCGTAGCGTGTTGGACTTGCCATGCTTTTGAGGTTGAACACATATCTTGCATTTTTCGACCTAACATCTCAGTGCACTGTCGTGCAAGGTGGAGAACGCCCACCCGCTTGTGTTTCGAGTGCCTGGCTTAGTGTCATGTGATTTCTTCCATGCAGTATCGTTTGGCAGTAAACAGGTGGCGACAGCATGTCATGTCAGTGACTTTTCGCTATAGAGTGAGTTGGTAACCAGTGTATTCATGTGATCCCAGTGCAGTACACAAAAAAAGGCCTGCAGCATTCTCTGCTTTCAGCAGGGCTTCGATATCCATATTGGGGCTTGCGCAATGAACAGACCAATGGACACGGGGTTGGGATGAGCATTCTTGGGACAGTCACGAGCATGGGAGCTTGCACCCCTGATTATCCGCAAGCTGCAAGGTACGTGATTTGTCATCAACAGACAACCCAATCAATGGAGTCGCAACAAGGCAACGGAATCCACAATTGTACTGGTGCCAGCACCTGACCAATGAATTTTCTGCTGTGTTTTGTGGTAGGCGCAGAAGGTCGACAGCGACAAGAAGGAGGAGGTGGAGGATGATGAGTTTGTGGATGCTGTAGAGCCTACGCCTGCTGAAGAAGCCCCCAGGGCCTTGGGCAGCCTTGGCGGCAGGGAGGAGGACATGGGAATCGCTGATATACTGGCGGAAGACACAGAGGACGTGGATTTTGGCATGGGCATCACCCCTGGCTCTGCCAAGAAGCCTGGGGAGGAATCCAGGGCGAAGAAGATCCCGGAAGCATACGGAGACGCAGAGATGCGCGAAGTGGCAGCACACCGGGGGGACAGTGGGGGATGGAGGGGTGGCGAAAGCGAGAGGGGCCCAAGGGGGAGCAAGTCCCAGCGTGTGGATGATGGGGATGGGGACGGAAGCAGGAGGAGGGGCAGGGTGGAGGTTGAAGGAGGGAGGTTGGATCGAGGCAAAGGGGAAGATGTCAGGCCCCATGGACCTGAGGGAGGGGACAGCCGCAAGCGGAAACTGGAAGGGCCAGCTGGGGAGAGCAGGGCCCAAGGGGGGGAGGGGCCGCAGGAGCTGAAGAGGCAGCGACTGCCTGGTGCGGGTGCAGAAGCGCCCACGCAGGGAAGTGGGAGGGAACCGATTCCAGCACCATCTCGTGGCCCTCCCAAGGGTGAGGAGGCTTCAGGGGAGGCGTCAGTGCCCCCCAAGCCTGACCCTGACCAGGTGTCACCCGCCCTGCGGATCGACAACTTTGTGCGGCCGTTCACAGAGGCAGCGGCAAAGGAGATGTTGTCCGCCTTTGGCAAGGTCGTAGACATGTGGATGCCGTCGATCAAGACGCACTGCTATGTGATCTTTGAGGCGAACGAGGAGGCGCTGGCGGCATATAACGCAACTTACAAGCTCGAGTGGCCCAAGAACGGTGGCCGGCCATTGAACCCAAGGTTTGTGACTGTGGCCGAAGCGAAGCAGGAGATCGACCAAGGCAGGGCTCGCTTGACGATGGGCCGGGGATCGGGCTCTGGGGAACTCAACACCATGCCCAGTATTGGGAGTGAGGGCAGGTTTGGCGACCCCAGAGGTGGCAGGGACCACTGGGTGGCAAACAATGGTCGTGACAGGGTGGGCCATGCGGGTGCGCCGCATGAACCCCCGCGTGGCGTCGTGCCTGTGGGCCAGCAGGGCGCCTTGGAGCCCGGACGGCAGTTGTCGCTGGATGAGCTGTTCAACAAAACGAGCGCAAAACCTGCGGTCTTCTGGCTGCCTCTGACTGATGAGCAGGTACGTCACCATCTTTTGGATTGTGTTGGGGACACAGGGTTGTATTGGAACAGGACCATGTCTCGCATGAGACGCTTCTCCGAATGTGTTCGCAGTACTTTACCTGTTTGAAATCGTTCCCGAATAGGCCACCCTGCACATTGTCTGTGATATTTCTCTTTGGCAAATCCTGTGGCTTCTTCATCGTGTGCTTCTTCGAGGGAGGTGGTGGCTTCTTATTCTCCCCTTGCATCTTGGCACATTTATTTGTTGATCCTTTAACATGAAACATCTTGCCCTGAATGGGTTTTGCAGTTTCTCTGTTGACGTTTATCATTATTGAAACTGGATCCTGGCACCCAGATTGCAGTGAATTGGTATGTCTGCTTTTGCATCATGCCGTACCAAGAAAGCCACATGGTCTGTAATCCCCACAACTCCAAAGCTGAACTCAGCAAATTCCAGAGCTGGGGACGTTGATATGATATGCAGCCAATACTGGCCGATCATGCCCTTTGCTCATGATGCGCTTTGTGGCGAAGTTTGCTGCCACACTAGCAATTGGCAATATAGGCAGCGCAGCCATGTGTATCACCAGCAGTTTGACGCTTTATGACCAGGTGGCCCAGAAGAAGAGGCGCCAGGCTGAGGAGGCAGCAGCTGCTGGAGGCAGGAGGGAAGCTGGCAGGCCTGGGATGGAGGCACGGGGTGATGGGGGCAATGGTAGGCCTCTGAGGCTGGCGGACGGGAATGGGGCTGTGCGCCACGCAAGGGGCCGGGAGTACGACCAGCCAGGAATGCGGCGCATGGACAGCCGGGATTTCAGGGATGGTGGAAGGCGATCGTACAACAACAACATTAGGAGGCAACGGAGGTAGGTGCTGAGCGTTGGTTGCACTCTGGAAGGAATGTTGAAACTATTCTGGGAGTTTCTTTGTGTGGTGTGTGCTGCTGTCTTGTGCTGGAGGGTATGTGGGGTGTGGAGCATTGACATCATGTTGTCGTGCTGATGCCTGTTTGATGCCAGCGAGGGGTGTCTGCTCACTCCCCAAAGGGCCACTGTGCAGTACCTGTGCTAGTGTGCTGCGGGGCATGTTCATGACGATGAGCAAGATCCGCACGTCCCCCAGCTGGCAACTTGCACGATTGCTGTGGCTGATTGTGCAGAGAAGTCCACAAGCGTTTTGATGGTGGCTTGTGTGCAAAATTGCAGGTGAGCATGAGCGTGCAGCACACGGCACTTCCAAGCCCGTGTGCCGGCAGGCAATGTGCGAGGAAAGGCCTGTGGACCACATTCAGCTCCAAGTGAGATACTGGTGGGTTACCGAAGAGTTCCAGAGGAGGTGCAAATGAGGTATATATGAGGTACGGGGTGGGTCAGGTGTGTGGGGAGTCTGGTCGTACCAGCGTTGTCTTGTCGGGTAACAAAGTCGTAGCTGTGGAGCAGTGTCTTATCGTCTATTTGTCCTGTGTGTCAGTGCACCCCTGGCTCGGCCGGAGGTGGTTGAAGTATGTCTGGTGGTGCGTCCCCTGTCAAAGGTCCATCATGCTCTTCTTGTGTCTGGTAGAGTCGGGAGGGAGGAGTCTTGGAGTGTGTCCTGGGTGGGTTGTTCGTTCTTTGTGGCACCGTCACCTGTTGTTTTGAAAGCGACTATGGAGGTGGGAATGGATCCATGATGACAAAGAGGCAGGAATACCGTGAAAGAAGGCGTCACAGCGGCAGGAAATGGATGCACGATGGCAGAGCCGGATGGAAAAGCATGATGGTGGTTCTGGGGAGCAGGCTTCGTGGCCATCCGATGGAGGCATCCATGTCGAAAATGCAGGCATGCAATGACACCATTCAGTCACCGCGGCTGCCCTTTGTATCCGTTGGGCACCTGCAGGAATTCCTGTTTGCACACAAGAACATCCCTGCCATTCAAGACTACGTTGGACCCATTTTCAGTACGCTGCAGTACGGGTGCCCTGCCGGAATGAATGGGAACAGAGGAAAAGGATGCAAGGGGCGCTTTTGTGTGACAGGCGCGCTGATGCAGAATAGAGCTGGGCATATGTCTCCGGTTAGGAGCTAAAGCTGCTGCAAACCATGTACAGCGGCACATTCTGGCACTTGGAAACTTAGAGGCTGCTTTCAGCGAAGCAGCAGGCTTCTTAGCAACAGTGCTGATCCACACAACTGTGCAAACTAGGTCCACAGACATGAAGGTGCCACTTGTTGAACGGATGAAGGTCTGCCAGAGGAGTTTTCCAGACATTTTCTTTGGGATCGTGATCCTGCAGGCAACTGGTATCTGGCTGTGTGCATGGTGGCATGCAAACCTGGCCCATCCTGGAAGCGTTCCTGTGCTGCTGGAGACGTGGTGCTGTTTGACGGGGGTGTGCTTCTCGTCAAGCGGGTGGGGTACGCGGCTGTGGAGGCACTGTGAAAGAGTCCTGGCATCAAATGACTGGGTTGCAAGCATCCTGTGCCACCAGTTTCGCATGTGGCTTTGTGTATTGCGCAACCCGTTGTGGCGCCAGTCATGGCGGTGCTAATAGTATCCAGGAATTGGTGTAAACTCTGCTGAAGGCCGTCAACTCATCATTGGTAAGTGCACCCAAGCCCAGAGCCAAGCTACAGTTTAGGAAGAATTCATGCATCCTACAGCGCAACACTGGGTGTCAGTCCATCAGTTGCATCGAAGAGGACGATCATTGAACACACTGGCACACGAGGATATGGCGAGCATACTGGCCATTTGCTTGCCTGCCGATGCCCATTCCGACATAAGAAACAAGTGCATAGCGAGCTGTGGATGTGTACTTTCCATCCAACTGTCCACCGGTTCAACCTCGAGAAGTGGGGGAAGCGGTCGCTGTAGCCGTGCAACTACACACCACATCCAATGAAATCACACAACGGGCCGAGGTGCCCGAAGCACCCGCCGGTCGTCCAGCTCAATTTTATCCGCAAACTAGCCGCCATGCATCCCATGCTCTGCAACCACCAATACCTGTGGCGAGAGACCATTAATTCGACTACGTTTGCAAACACCTGGCAGTCACTGCCCTTCCCACTGAGGGGCATAATTCCATGGACATTGATGGTTCCAAAACATTTCTTTGTTCCCAGCTATCTGCTGTGATGCTCATATGGCGTGAACCTCAGCCTCCTGTGTATCCCAGTAAGCAGTTGTACAGTAAACACGCAAACGACGGCACACAGGATAAGGGGCCAGCCTTGGGACAGCACGGCCACACCAAATCCGGCTCTGAACGCCAGGGAGAAAAATGTGGCTGCCAGAATGACCAATGCCCACTGCGCAATGGGCTTTAGAGACTCAACAACATGCAGAGCGCCACTGCAAGAGCGGCAGTGCCTGGTATGCTGTTCGTACCTGCGTGTGCAATGCAAGGGCACCGTCAACCTCTGGACACAGATTCAAGGAAATTCGAAGCAGCAGAGACCAAGCAAAACCATACAACCCATCAGTCTCTTGAAGGTGGGTGCCATGTGCACAGAAGATCCTTTCTTGCTACCTCTGCGAATGATCTATGTTCAAGAGGAACAACCGCATTTGATGCCCATTGCATTGGGACTGTTCTGATGGTCTCTGCTGTTTTGAAAGAACCACATGCTCGTGTTCAAACTCGCAGCCGAACTGCTGACGAACCACACATGGATGTTCAAAACGCACCTGTCCAGAATGACCTCCTCCCTGGTCTTCTCCGGGCCATCTGTCAGCAGCTCCCCCCCAGGTCCCCTGCGTCCACCCCCACCCCTGGCGGGGTCATGGTACCACTCCAGCAAGTCGACGACAGCCCTGTCCGCCCCCGCAGCCAAATAGTAAATGTCCTGGTGTTTAAGTTCCCCTCTGACCTTCCGCATCCGCTCCATCGTGTGGCCCTGGTTGTGCAGCAGAGTCATGTCCCCGTCCAGCAACTCGTTGCTCTCCAGGTGGAAGAACCACACGGGCTGTTTGCCCCCATTGAGGATTGTGGCCAGCCTCCTTAGAAGCAGCCTCTTCCAGTCGCCAAGCGCCTCTTGACCGTGTCTGCGGAATGACTGGCCAAGGAGACGACACCTGCCCGGAGACGTAGAGGTGCAATAGGTGGTTGCCACAAGTGAGGGCAGCGCCCCCTTCCCCAGCGATCCATAGCAGTAAATGACGGCTGTGGGGAAAATTAAGTCCAAATTGCGCTTCCCGCTCCCTGGGGGCACCCCCAATGACTGGACTTCAAACTGCAGTGGGGCTGGCTGCCCTCCACCTTTGGCACGCAGTCGGGTAATTCTCAGAGGCTTGACAGCATCTCGATTGCCTTGAACGCCGTGGTGGGCGAAGTGCATGTGTGAGGGGTCGATGACGTTTTCCACAAGAAGGTTGTGGCCATACATCAGGTCGCGCGCCACCCCGGGGGATGCTGGCAAGTACTCATCGCTGTGTTTCTGCAGAGAGCTGTTGATCTTGGGTTCTTGATGTGCACTGTCGATGAACGCTGTTGAGGCACTGTCAGCCCAAATTCACAACATATGCATCTTCAGCTATAAGGCAAATATGGACCATTCACCCAGTATTAAAGTGCATCGCACCTGGCCTAGCACTGCAAGTGCATAACACAATCCAGTGCATCATGCCATGCAGCACAGTGGCAATCAAACTGGAAAGAGCTTGCAAGCCACTTGCATTTGTTGTCAGTTCTTTTATGGGGCAAGACCCAACGGTCCAGCTGTGCAAGGCTGTGGCAGCAAAGAAGATTTGAATGTACTGTTTCTTGTGGCTGAATTCGGCTGTCAACCATTCCTAAGCATAGTACTTCTGAAGTACATTGAACTGTCGCTCTTCTTGTAGCTGCTTGTAAATGGGCAGTGGCTCCACCGAGCACCACTGTTGAGCTAGTGTCGTGTTCTGTCCCTGTTGCCCCATGGAATTGGTACCTGCCACTTGCAATTTGCTGATAGCAGATTTACCTTTGCTCTGGGCAACTACAAGACTCCCCCTAACTGTTTGCCAAAGAGCCAAACACTTTTCTATGGGTGTTGTTGCTCCATCCCTTATTGCTCATCACTCTAATGAATAGTTCTATGCCAACCCTCAAATGCCCTCAATTGTGGGGGGCCTGTGTGTCGGACATACTGCATAACAACACCAAAATATTGTTGTCGCTAGTCAGAATAAACAGCATCCCAATGCTGCAGAGCAGAATGTCCCCAATTACCTGGTGGGGTGGATCCACTATGTCTAAAGTTTGGAATCTCAACTCGTACAATGAGTTTACCCACGTTTTGTTGGGACAAGAAATGTTTGCGCAGATCGGCTGCAAGGGATTGAGCAGCTGATTGTCGTGCTTGACGCAGTCATGAATGGAAAAAACATCACAGAAGATTGGTTGCCTTCCGGAATGTGACTCGACAAACATGCCCACAATCTCAGGAAAGTGTCCGCTCAGGGGTGCCCACTGTCTGCCTTGCTTCCGCTCAGAAGACAGCACTGGGCAACAGTCAGCTAAACATCACCTAACCTTTTGCAGAAGCCAAGTGGGTTTCGCCCCTTGCATGATGTGCTACCTCTCCGCCAAAAACGCAGTCCTTCCATGACTGGTAAGCTCCCAGCAGACGACACGCCCACTGAGCGACGTGTTTGCCTTTCCGCGCTTCATTCGCTTTCCTTCGCTTCGTCGCAGTGCCGTCCGTTGGTTGCTGGCGAACGCTCAGCAGGGGTGTCGGCGAACGACATGCTTGCGCTTCCCTTCCGAGGCAGAGACAACACTCGCCGCCAGCCACACACCCACCTACCTGCACCGGGTACGTGACCACCCGCGACCTCCTGGACCCACACGCCACAGCGTTAGCCCTCTCGTCCTCCGCCTGTGGCAAGTTCACGCAGTCCCCCTCCCCGTTGAACCACCACCCGTGGTAGCTGCATATCAAGGTGCCTGGCGCGCGTCCTCGCAGGCCCGCCACTGACCACCGTCGTCGCGCCAGACCACGATCCTCCGGCCCAGCAGCGTGAACGGCACCGGCCTGGAGGGGTCGGGGTCCTGCTCCAAAAATGCGGGGTACCACTGGCGCACCCAGTCAAATGGGGGCGCATCCGAGCGGGAAATTGCGGGATCCCGGCGTGTGTGGGGTCCCGTAACCGAGTTCCCCCCCCCGATCGCGTTTCGTGATGCCTGCGGAGGAGATTCTGCCAGTTGGGAATGGATGCCAGATAGGACGAGGATGGGGGAAGGGGGGCACCGGCCTGAGGGGTGGGAGGGAGGGAGGCCTGCGGAGGTGCGCAGCGCCGGCTGGCCCCAGGGGACCGACGGAGGGCCGCCGGGTCCGCATGGCGCGACTTCTAGCCCAGGCGGCGACGTGCCAAACGGGAGGCGAGGTGGGGGCTAGGCGACTGAAATGGAAGCAATCGTGCGGGGGTGATGGTGCGCGTCGCGTCAAACGCCGTACCGTACAGTACACACCGACATACCATATGGTAATCGGGGGGCCGATGTACGAAGCGCGACCGCATGAGGTTCGATTACTGCACCAAGGAAGGTACTAGGTACCAGGAAGGTACTAGGTACCAGGAAGGTACTAGGTACCAGGAAGGTACTAGGTACCAGGAAGGTACTAGGTACCAGGAAGGTACTAGGTACCAGGAAGGTAGTATGAGGTTCCCAACAAGTAATAGTGGGGACACAGATGGCAGATTCGATCCCGGTAGATTGGACGCTGCTAGTGTTGGTACGAGTGCAGGTACTTAGTGCCTAACATTTCGTCCAGACGCAAAGCACGCCAACGCCCTGGCTGTGTGGGCCAGCGCCAGGGCTGCCAGCGCCAGGGCTGCCAGCGCCAGGGCTGCCAGCGCCAGGGCTGCCAGCGAGAAAGGACGCTGTGACCGCCCCCTCCTCTCGTCGTGTGGGACGCAAGACACCGCGCCCAAGGATCGGATCGGCGGCCCCGAGCGAGCGCCCAAACGTTCTCTGCCGCGGGCGATCCCGGTCCAGGAGTCACTGAAGCGGGAGGGAAGGGAGCCAACCAAGCATGGAAGTAGGATCCTCTGGGTGGAGTCGCCAAAAAATTGGCGAGAAGGGAGGGCGGAATCGTGGCGTACTCAGCATTTGTTAATTTCTGAGGCGTTCCCGTGGCCAGTGACCCGCGCGGAAGGGTGGGCGAGTGGGATCAGGAAAGGGCGCAGCTTACACGGGAATTTCGTGATCAATTCAGCATGGCCTGTCGCTATAGCTTGGACATCGATTGATCGGAATAGTTGTGATGTCCTGTTTTCCTGCTCAGTTGCTGTTAAAGGATACAGCTTGGGAAGAAAGGAGAGTTCTTCATAAAGATCATGCCGGGTAGTTTATTGGAAAAGTTTCAATTTGTGCGTCCATGTGTGTAGGCTGCACTTCTAACCTTACCAACTGCGGCCTAACTGCCTACAAAGCTACGTGCGACATACTTTTGTCCTTGTTGCAGGTTTTCATGCCCAGCTTCATCAGTGTCAGCATCATTGTGGCTGCTGCTGTCACTTGTGCAGCTGGGATTGTGATGCTCTACATGCTTTACTGGAAGGTGCCTGCTGCTGTCACCTATGCAGCTGGGACTGTGATGCTCAGCATGCTTTACTGGAAGGTGTCCAGAGCTGTCAAGGGACAGGTAAGTGGGTGTGCCAGCAGGCAGCCATTTGACGATGTGTTGACAGTGCTACTTGCATGAACTGCTGTTGTCCTGATGTGCTGGAATTGGAAAGGTTTGTCTGATACCTGTAATTTCCAGACATGAAGGTAGTGAAGGGGCTATGAAGGTCATGAAGCGTGCCAGAGACCAAACCCTCAGACCTAAAGAAACAGAAAGCACCATAAGCACCCGCAAATAATCTTCATGACTCCATGGCTGCATATTCTTCAAGGCCTTCAACTGCTTGTACTCAATAGAGAGCAAAAACATTGCTTGAGGGATGGGTCATGGCAGTTCCATAAACGTCCAATACCCCCATATGTTGGGCATGAAGGCCTTGAGCCTGGCTGAAAAAGTTCGATTAGTCTTTGTTCCCACAAACCCACACAGCACACCAAATGGCAGCATAGTATTGTCAGGTCAGTCATCTGCCATCAACACAGGTGGCAGTGCCTGTTTGTTCCATCACAAACCCCTAACTTCTGAACTGCAATGAAAGCACAGTGGATGGTACGATGGATGGCATCTGAAAACAGTTCCTAATGTGCTTTGTGTGCAAAAACTCGTCCTTGTTGGTTTTAAAAGGATAAGAGTGCTACAGAAGCTATAGAGCAAATGATGGATTCGATTTGGGACCAGTTTGAAGTCCTCCTTGGTGAGTGATGGGGGTCGAATGCCCACAGCCGTAGATGAGAGAAACTTGCTATTGATTGATGAAATGTGTGTTACCAGTTGATGGTATGTGCATGCTGCTTAGACAAGGCTGTGGAAGTGGCCTTTTGATCTAGTGGATTTTAAGGTATGCCTCTGTAAACTTCTGCAAAGGGGCCATTGCCATGAGTTATACTGACCTCCTTGGCGGCATCCACACATTTTTATCCTGTTTGGGCCAGTTTGGCTTGGCCAACCCCATGGACCCAAAAGGCTTGGAGACATTACCAACTCCTTTCCAAAGCACTCGCACATTGTGTGGTTAGACCCCACGAAACAGAAACCAATCTTGCATACTTTGCAGGTCCTTGCTGTGTGCCACATTGTTGCCAATGTGGCTGGGTGCCTTTGTGCACTGCCCATCAGCAGGTTCTACCCTGTCTGTGCAGGTACTGCACACGTGGCACACCAAGGGGTTGCTCTTTGGGCACCCCTGGTCATCGCACAACGGCCACTTGCAGGTCTTGTTGTCCATGCTGAGAACTTGGGGCTTGATGCATACTGGGTACCTATGGGAGTGTCCAGGTCACATTTCGTGCACTCGTGGATGCAGTCACACAGTTGGCATTCGCAGACTTGGGAATGCTTTGGATGGGTCTGGCTGGAGGGGTACCTCGTATTCCGCACATGCTTTGTACTTGTCTCCACTGCATGTCATGCAGTATTGCATGGTGCACTCACTGGGCAGCCACGCACACTCCTTCCAGTTGTCACTGGGCACATGTTGGTCTTCGCGCATGATGCCAACGTGACAGTCCATTGGGTCACATTGCAAGCACCATGCCACCTGGCAACACTCGTTCAGTCTGTGGTTGTAGCCAGCTGGCCCAAGTACAGCTTGCAGGCTCATATGATGCAGTTGCTCAGGTTACACTTCGTTGGATGCAGTCCCTGTCGATGCATTGAACTTCGACTGCAACGCCAGGCTTGTGTCTCACTTTTGCTGTTGTTGCTGTTGTGATAGATGACCTGGCGAGGCAAAGATCAGGCAGTTGTTGGCATTGGGTTGCAGGTAATATTTCTGGATTGTTGTTGAATCACTCATGACCCAAACCTACAACAGCAGCAAGGGTGCTGCTGCTGACAGCAGTGTTCGGCCTGTAACGTGGTGATGCCATCTGTGAGGCAGCATTTGGTCCCATAGCTGTATGTTATGGATTGATTCATATTGACCAGGTCCAAAAAAGAAACCTGCTGCTTCATTTACCATACTGTGCATCAGCGTGCTGCTAATCAAATTGGCTATGCGAGGCGATGCAAGTGTTTGATGGTATTTACATTGTTTTATACCTTCAGGTGCGCACCCAGCTTCAGCACCATTTGTAAGGTGCTCAGTAGAAGTGCATGCCACGCCTAGTTTATGTGCCAATTATTTACTCGTTTCTTTTGTTTTTGAGTACCACAACCCTACTGTGCACAAGGCAAGGCATGCCACAATCGACAGCAGCTCCATCGCCCCATGCAAATGACAATAGGCAGAGGATGCTACATTTCCCGAAGTGCGAATGTGAAATAGTGCAGTGTGGGGTGATGCAAGAGATGAGTGTGGGGCATTACCAAGAAACGTTAGTCTGCTGTTGTGGTGTTGTCTATGGTGCCTGACTTTTACAAGTGGAACATGCCGTGCTGTGGACCTTGCCATCTAATCGACGCCCCGAGTTAGACATATATGTTTGAAAAAGTTGAACGCATGATAAAAAGAAATCGGATGCCCCAAGATGGAGCAGGAATGGATAGCAATCTGTAATTTGCAGCAAGCACCGTGAACATGAACTGTGACGAACTGCATCTTGTTTGTGAGGAAACTTGCTGGAATGCTGTGGATCATTGTTCAAGCATGTCTGCCAGACTGAGTCTACAAGACTTTGCAGAATCGTGATGATCACACACGATGCCTGTCAGTTTTAATGGAACTTGAGCAATTGCAGAATGTTCTTGAGATGCTTGCATTGACCTGCAGAATGAATGGCACACAGGAAACAACTGTGAGTGAGGAACGAAGGCTATCGGTTGGAGGGAGTGAGGTGCAATACAACAACAACATAATGCGTTTCCTGAAGCACCAGCTGGACAAAGTGCAGCACTTGCAAAGGCCACCAGCAGCAAGCCTTGAAGACTGTGCAGAATTTGACGTGCAGGTCGCTAAAGGACGTAGGTTGTTATCCAAACACACAGAGTTCCCAGACATCAGGTTCTTCTACACAACCAAGGTTGCCTGCATGGCAGTGGAAAGGATATGCTCATGCCTGAAAGACATTCTGGAAGATTGGCACATGCAGCATGCAGTGCGCATTGAAGACAGGATACCTTATACAGAAGTGGTGGAGGATGAACACAGCTTGCACAATCTTCTGTCTTACATCCTGAGAGGCAGGGTCAATGTCATGACAGAACAGCGGCGCGCACAGTGGGAGGCCATCAGAAGTGACCATTATCGCAGGATGGGCGAACTGATGATTGATGAAAGTGAACTCTTTTTAAATGAGCGGATTGCTGGTGGCAGTATGGCAGATGTGCACAGAGCAGAATGGCGGTCAGCGAAAGTAGTCGTCAAGAAAAGTGCAAAAGGGGCTGAATTGTCTGTTGAAATTCTGGCTGAATTGATGAGAGAGGCTTATGTGCACTCGTCACTGAACCACCCAAACATTGTCCACCTTCATGGCCTGACAGCCTCAGGCTGGATGGTGATGGAGCAGGCAAACACCAGCTTGTGGCACTGGTGCCACAGCCGTCGAGAATTGTCTTGGGATATAACTCTCAGACTCTTGCAGCAAGCTGCAGATGGATTGGACTACATGCACCGTCACCAGCCTGTGCTGGTTCACTCGGATGTGAAGCCCAGTAATTTCCTCATTTTTGGCACTCAACCAGACAAGCTCTCACTCAAAATTTCAGACTTTGGGGTGTCATTTGAGGAGAGAGGTACAAGAAGGAACACTGTCAGGCTTGGCGGTGGAACGCCTGAGTACATTGCCCCTGAGGTCTCCCTTGACAAACCACTTACACAATCTTCCGACGTCTTCAGCTTTGGAGTCACTATGTTTGAGGTTGTCAGCAGACAGCGTCCATATGGCGGAAGGGTAGGAAATCTTCATGCTCTGTTTATGAGGAAGAATCGAGAGGAGTTGCCTTGCCATTTGACTGTCCGTGACTGCCCTCGAGAAATGGTGGAATTGATGAGGCGATGTTGTGCTCCTGAGCCCAGCAATAGGCCGACAATGGAGGAAGTCAGCCATCAGCTGCTCCAAATGCCATTGAATTGGGCTCCTGTGGAACTGCCAGAATCGGCTTCAGGGGGAGTTTCGGAATGGGCTTCAAAGAAATTGCCAGAAAACGCATCAGAGGAAAGAATCCCAGTTCAAGAGCCCAAGATGGAGGTAATCTAGACCTTGTTGTCGCTGGATTGCTGCTCTTCATAGATTCAGTTGCAAGAGCTGAATTCACATTGTTTCCAGTACGTGCTGCCAAAATATGGCAGAATGCTATCCTTGCACTGTCATAGTGATTGCAGGTACACTGGGCACTGAGGCTCAACTTTGGTTGCCAGCAGGTGCAGTACAACAACAACATTATTCGATTCCTGAAGCACCAGCTGGACAAAGTGCGGAACCTGCACAAACCTCCGAATGCAAGTCCTGAGGACTGTGCCAAACTTGACTTTCAGGTGGCCAGTGCGCATATGTTGATTACAAAGCATGCAAAGCTCCTGGACGTCCAACACCTTTATACAAGCAGGGTTGCTTGTGATGAAGTGGAATCGATGTGCCGCGATCTGAAAAACATCTTGGAAGGTTGGCACATGCAGGGCAAAGTGGGTATTCAAGACAGAATACCTAATGCAGAAGTGATGGAGGATGAGCAGTGTTTGCACAATCTCTTGAATTTCATTCTCAGGGGTAGGGACTGTGACGTGACAGAACAACAACGAGCACAGTGGACGGACATCAGAAGGGACTATGATTGCTGGAAGGGAACACTGAAGATCATTAGTGAGAGCGAAGTTCAACTGCTTGAGGAAATCGGTGCTGGTGGTATGGGAGTCGTGCGTAAAGCAGAGTGGTTGTCAACAAAAGTAGCTGTCAAGAAAATTGAACAAGGCTTCGAATTGCCTGTGGAAAAGCTGGTCGAACTGATCAGAGAGGGCAGGGTGCAATCGTCGTTAATGCACCCAAACATAGTTCGCTTGCATGGCATCACTGCCTCAGGCTGGATGGTAATGGAGCTTGCAGACACCAATTTATGGAACCTTTGCCACAGCAGGCAAGAATTGCCTTGGAGTGCAATTTTAACACTGCTTGTGCAAAGCGCAAAAGCGTTGGACTACCTTCATTGCCACAAGCCAGTGCTGGTTCATTCAAATGTGAAGCCACAGAATTTTCTCATATTTGGAACTCACCCTGGCACACTCTTGCTCAAAGTGTCGGACATTGGAGTGTCATTTCAGGAGAGAGGGACAAGAGGGAATGCTATCAGGTTTGGTTGTGGGACACCTGAGTACAACGCCCCAGAGACCTTCCTTGACTTACCACTCACGCAAGCATCAGACGTCTTCAGTTTCGGAGTCGTCATGTTTGAGGTTGTCAGTGGAAAGCGCCCCTACGGTGGAAGGACTGGAAATCTTGCTTCTCTTTATCACAAGAAGAGCTGTGGAGAACCACCATGTCCTGTTGGGCATCAGGACTGTCCTCCAGAAATGGTGCAGTTGATGAAGTGGTGCTGTGCTGCGGACCCCAGTGGCAGGCCCACAATGGCAGAGGTCATCCGTCAGCTGCAGCAGTTGTCACCAGACTGGGTTCCAGCAGATGAGCCTACAACAGAGGTAACTCCAATGTCATCATCACATGGGTGTTATGCTGTGTGATAACAGCTCCAAGAGAGAAGAAAAGCAATCCTTTTTGATGCCTTTTGCCAAATTGTGATGCGCTGGCCTTGTACTTGCAAGAGCTAATATGGGCATCAGTCCATGCACACCTGTTTCTTGTGAAGCTTTTTAGATGTACCGGCCATGTTGCTGAGCAAATTCAATGCAAGAATGTGCTGCATCGTGAGAATCTCCATGATTTCAATTCTTGTTTAAGTTCACTGTAAGATTTGCACATGACAGATGGAAAGGAGCCTCGCAAATGCTCGATGCATTCTGAGAATATTTAAGTTAAGGAAGGGCCTGAAAACTGAGACCCGATGTACCCAGGTCAAGCTAAGACTCTGAGATGGGGTACGCATGTATCGTAATTTCTGATGACCCCATTTGCAGTTGACAAGTGGTACATAATACACAGGGGTATCATAGTGGTATAATTGGAATGGGAATGGCGGCCATGTTCGCAGTTGTGCTCACAAACAAAACTTGTTAGGATGCTCCCAATCTTCTGTCAAACATTAACACCAGATACAGACATTCACAGCCACACACATTGACAACGTGGTCAGCTTTGACAAATTTGAAGGCCTGGTGTTTGTATTTTTTTCTGCACAGCAGAGCAAAGTTTTAGGAATTTGTACAGTAGTTTGTGAGTTTTGTCAAAAAGTGTGAATGACCTGATGATTGAAATTCAATGCAATGAAGGGAACGATTACAAGGGAGAGAAGAAGAGAAGTGATCGAATCGGGATCAGGTTCTATCGGCAGGAGCCAACAGTTGGAGCAAGACGCAGCAGCTGTTCCCAAGGAAGAGGAGGAAGAAATGGCGAGAGGGAATGCGCCAGAGGAACAAGCGACTGCTAGTCCCATTGAGGAAGACGCCGAAGACAGGCACAGCCGGATCAGCATTATAGAAGTGCAGCAGCAGTTGATGGGGCTCCGGTACAACTCAAACATCCTGCAATTTCTGAAGGATCAGATGGAGAACGCCCGGGGTCTGGCCCTGTTGGATAGTTTGTCAGAGAAAGCGTCACAGCAACTGGATATTGCACTGAAGCAGGGAGATCGTCTCATCAGGAAGCACTCAGACTTGTTCGACGTCAAGCGCTTCTATAAAATCGAAGATGCTGCAGAGGCTGTGCTGCAAGTGTGTGGGAGGATGCGTGATGCCCTTGTGGCACATAAGTCTCAGATTGCATACGCAGTGCCGCAAGATTGCATTGACAAGGATAGGCGACATTTGTACGCACACCTTGGCTACGTTCTCATGGGCAAGCATCTTGGGCAAGAATTTGAAAATGAGGTGCACTTTTGGGACGAGTGGCAGTCGCTCAGGAGGTGGCACGAGGTTCAGATGAGAGACCTGAATGTGATTGTCGACAGTGACGTCTCTGTGGGGCAGGGGACTGGTCAAGGTGGCTACGGCGAGGTGTTTGCAGGCCAGTGGAGACATGTGAAGGTCGCTGTCAAGAAAGTGAAGTTAGTTGATGCCAGGGTTGAACTGCCCATGGAAAATTTTGCGGAGGTTTTCAAGGAGGCGTCCACTCTTGCATCTCTCAACCACCCCCACATTGTTCGATTGTATGGGATTACTAAATCTGGGTGGATGATCATGGAGCTGGCTGATGGGGACTTGAGCACTCTGTGGGCTGATACAAAGTTGACTTGGACCACGATACTCGACGTTCTGGAGCAGGCAGCGGCTGGGCTGGAGTATGTACATCGCAAGCAACCTCCCTTGGTTCATGGCGACATCAAGGACAAGAACTTTCTTTACATAAAGAATGGCGACGGAAAGTATGTCGTCAAACTTGCCGACTTCGGGCTTACAACAGAGGTGCGCAACTGGCAGACAGACACTATGAGGAAGCCAGCAGTGACACCCGTGTGGATGGCGCCAGAACTTTACGCTGGCGAGAAGCCCTCCCTCAAGTCTGACGTTTTCAGCTTCGGCCTCGTCATGTACTCAGTTGTCACCGGATGCGTGCCGTATGGATTTGGAACGAACGATCTTGTTATAATGAGTAAAAAGCTTTCCAGCGAGCTGCCCTGCTCAGTTACAGAATGTGGCGCCCCTAGTCAGCTGATTGATCTGATGAAGCGGTGTGTTTCATTGGACCCTCGGAACAGGCCTGGCATGGGCGAGGTTGCTGATTGCCTTGCAAAGCTGGCGGAAAAATGACAGGCTGGGCAGTAGCTCTTGTATTGTAATGTAACGTGGCGTTGACGAATACGTTGATCCTTTGGGTCATGCACGTTGAGAGGAGGAATTCGTGGGTCTGTGATTCGGGAATGTACACCAGTTTTCGCTGCGTGGAACCAAATGATCTTTGTATGTACATAAAGGAAGCGGGTTATTCAACACGCTGTCCTCCAGTCAACTAGCGGACCATACGCCCTGCTTGCCACCCTGTCTGTGCCCGAGGACGGCAACCCGCGAAAACTGCCCAGACGCATCTGACATTATGCAACAGCGGGCGTGAAAAGAGGATTGGCACGGTTTTTTGGCACAGCATCAGGGCCATTCCGGTCTCTGCATACTTTTAAAGTATAGAGTATAGAATAAAATATTCTTTCTAGGTATAAATATAGAACAAATTATTCTAATGTAGTGCATTTATTCAATTTCTTAGCGTCCACACCCTGTAATCCCCAAAATCCCAATGGTGTCTTTCCTGACCAATTTCACACTCTTCGTGTCCGCCCAACTGGACCCAACTGGATCAGTTTGCATTTCTGTTGATTTTGTCATACCTTTGATGCAATAGTGGGTTAACGAAGCAACCCCATGCAATGTGCAGCATGTTTACAAATCTGACCCATCCTGCCCATTGATTGTACGTGACTCACCCAATGTAACGGTATTCATGGGGAGGGTCTACAGGGGGGGGGTAAGAGCATCAAGGAACATAGGCGCCGCCATGGCCTTTTGGTACCCCATCAGTGGCTCGTGTCAATCCACTAAAAGCAGCAATCATCATCAAAATCCATGGATTACATTTGTCACAAAATGACAAAACACAGCCCGTGCACCTGATAGGCGATGATGGGCATGGAAACCAAGCAGATAATATGTTCGGAATCGATTATTCATGGTGCCATATCGCCACTCCCTATTGTCCCGTGAAATGCAGTGAGCTGGCAATGAAGAAAATCAAATCAGCAATGCCAACTATCTGGGAAGTGTTGCCTGCGGCGCATCCAGTTCGTCTGGGCAACGTGTGGTTGGAGCTCGAAAGATTGTGAGCAGATAAATGACACCAGCAGAGTACTTGAGATCAACACAAGCTGTGAGACGCTTGCGTAGCACATTAATCACAATTGTTGCATTTGACCCTGAAACTGAATTTTCAAACTGCAGTTTCCCAAACTTCCGGAGAGGAGGAACGGCTGGGCACCATGCTTGCCACCCTGCTGAAAGACATAGCGGGCAGAATCTGCCCACGCACGGTATGCTTCAAGATAGAAAGCATGTATTTGTCCAGCTAAGGATGTGCAACACAAACTTCAAAATCCTCGAGGGACCTGCAGTTGACCCCCTTCATTGACATGAACACACCACGGCATGTGTTTTCTCGTCATGCCATGTACCCTGTCCCTTTTCAGCTGCTCTGACAGCGAACCTGAGGAACTGACACTGGATCAACACGACCAGAAGATTCTCTGGAAACAGAACTCCTCCAGAGAACGATCCCAAGAGAGCAAACATCCAGCCGCCGTGCAGCCAAACATCGGCTAAAAGGTGCAAGGGCCTTCCCTGTCATACTTTTCTGACAACTGCGACCAAGAGAATTGGTGCTGACCAACGGTGCTGCATCGAGCCATGCATCCCTGCACCTTTATCCTAGCCATTGCTAGGTGGCCACCGGCCTTCAGCACGTGCCCAACGACCATCAATGTGCAGTGAGAGTGACGCAAATTGCTCTGCTCTGTTTCCAAACACCTGCCCAGTGCTGCCACTGCGTCCAAAGGCAAAGATGGGCGAACTGCAAATGGCCCTCTTAGTTTCTGTACGTTCTGCTTTGCGCCACTACCTGCTGTGGTGTGCATATAGCTCGTACCTCAGCCTGCACCGGATCCCAGCTCACAGTTTCGCCGCAAGACCACAGGTGGCGGCCCACAGGATGAGGGGCCAGCCTTGGGACATCACAGCCACAGCAGAATTGATCTTGAATGCCAAGGAAAGGAAGGTGGCCACCAGGGTGGCCAACGCCCACTGAGTGATGGGCTTCAGACTTTCCGCGACACGCAGCATGCCACGGCAGGCGTGGCAGTGATTGGTGTGCCGTTCATACCTGCATGTGCAGCGCGAGGGTGCGCTCTTGCTCACAATGGACTGCATTTTTAAGAGGTTACGCCAAGCACTGCTCTTGCACCTTGCATGCAATAAACAGCACAGCAACACGAAACCAACGTGACCTTGTTCCCACCTAATTTTGTACACTGTCCATTTGCACTGCACCAATGTGACAGAAGAAACAACGAGCGGCAAAAAAGAGTGTGTCACCATGCATTTCTCACTAATGTAAGGAGGTTCAAGGCAATGTATTCAGTACATGACATCCACCAGTTCAGTTTATCTTTATTTAACCAAAGCATCATTGGCTTCCCACATGCACAGCTTGGTTACTTTGTTCTTGGGGTGAGAACATGATGGCACTTTCGATGCCCAATGCACTGAGGAATGGCCGATCCACTGAACTGCACTATAAGCTACCCTATTTATCTCTGCAACACATTGGCTGGCAGAGTGGCACATCCACTGTTCAGAAGGGTGTAACCTTCCTTCTTTTCTTGCATCAGGGCTTTCATTGAATGTCCTTTCCTTCTCTGAAAATGGTACATGAATGGTTCAACGTATCCATCACAAATTGTCCAGGAAAGACACACATGTATCCTCAAAACACACCTGTCCAGAATGACCTCTCCTTGGTCTCCTCTGGGTCATCTGACAGCAGCTGCCCCCCAGGGCCGCTGGGTCCACCCCCACCCCTGGTGGGGGCATGGTACCACGCCGGCAAGTCGACAACAGGCCCGTCTGCACCCACGGCCAAATTTTTAAATGTCCTGATGCTCAAGTTCCCCTCAGACCTTCCACATCTGCTCCATCGTGTGGCTCTGGTTGTGCAGCAGAATCATGAGGCCGTCCAGCAGCTCATTGCTCTCCAGGTGGAAGAACCACACAGGCTGTCTGCCCCCTTTCAGGATTGTGGTCAGCCTCCTTAGAAGCAGCCTCTTCCAGTCGCCAGGCGCCTCTTGACCGCCTCTGCAGAATGACTGGCCAAGGAGACGACACCTGCCCAGAGACGTAGGGGTGCAATATGCGGTCATCACAAATGAGGGCAGCGCCCCTTTCCCCAGCGATCCATAGCAGTTATTGACAGCTGTGGCGAAAATGAACTCCAAGTTGTGCTTCCCTCTCCCTGTGGGTACCCCCAATGACTGGACTTCAAACTGCAGTGAGACTGGCTGCACTCCACCTTTGGCATCCAGTCTGGTCATTCTCAGAGGCTTGACAGCATCTCGATTGCCTTGAATATCGTGGTGGGAGAAGTGCACGTGTGAGGGGTCGATGACGTTTTCCACAAAAAGGTTGCGGCCGTGCATCAGGTCGCACCACCCTGGAGGATGCTGGCGAGTACACATCGCTGTGTTCCTGCAGAGAGCTGTTGATCTTGGGTTCTTGAAGTGCACTGTCGATGAACGCTGTTGGGCCACTGTCAGCCCAAATCCACAACATATGCATCTTCAGCTACAAGGCAAATATGGACCATTCAGCCAGTATTAAAGTGCATCGCACCTGGCCTAGCGCTGCAAGTGCATAATACAATCCAGTGCATCATGCCATGCAGCACAGTGGCAATCAAACTGGAAAGGGCTTGCAAGCCACTTCCATCTTTTGTCAATTCTTTTGTGGGGCAAGACCCAACGGTCCAGCTGTGCAGGGCTGTGGCAGCAAAGAAAATTTGAACGTACCATTTCTTTTGGCTGAAATCGGCTGTCAACAATTTCTAAGCATAATACATTGAACTGTCGCTCTTCTTGTAGCTGCTTGTAAATAGGCAGTGGCTCCACCGAGCACCACTGTTGTGCTAGTGTCGTGTTCTGTCCCTATTGCCCCATGGAATTGGTACCTGCCACATGCAATCTGCTGAAAACCGATTTATCTTTGCTCTGGGCAACTATAAGACTCCCCCTAACTGTTGGCCAAAGAGCCAAACACTCTTCTATGGGTGTTGTTGCTCCATCCCTTATCGCTCATCACTATAATGAATAGTTTTATGTCAAACCTCAAATGCCCTCAATTACGGGGGAGCTGTGTGTCGGACATACTGCATAACACCAAACTATTGTCGTCGCTAGTCAGAATGAACAGCGTCCCAACGCTGCAAAGCAAAATGTCTAAAAATCCCTGGTGGGATAGATCCGCTATGTCCAAAGTTTGGAATCTCAACTCGGACATTGATTCACGTTTTGTTGGGACAAAAAATTAGTTGATTCACGAGTTGGTTCACGTTTTGTTGGGACAAAAAATTTTTACACAGATCGGCTGTAAGGGATTGCGCAGCTGATTGTCGTGCTTGATGCAATCATGAGTGGAAAAAACATCACAGAAGATTGGTTGCCTTACGTCTTTGCTCCATACCCAAGTAACCAATGGAGACGGAATGTGACTCCACAAACATGCCCACAATCTCAGGAAAGTGCCCGCTCAGGGGTGCCCACTGTCTGCCTTGCTCCGCTGAGAAGACAGCACTGGGCATCAGTGAGCTAAATATCGCCAAACCTTTGCAGAAGCCAAGTGGGTATCGCCCCTTGCATGATGTGCCACCTCTCCGCCCAAAACGCAGTCCTTCCATGACTTGCAGACTCCCAGCAGACGGCACGCCCCCTGAGCGACGTGTTAGCTTTGTTTTCTTCGTTTTTTTCTTTTTTCTTTTTTCTTTTTTTCTTTTTTTTTCGCGCTTCCTTTCCGTTGCAGTGCCGTCCGTTGATTGCTGGCGAACGCTCAGCAGGGGTGTCGGCGAACAGCATGCTTGCACTTCCCTTCCGCGACAGAGAGAACACTCGCCTGCGGCCAAACCCACCTACCTGCACCGGGTGCGTGGCCACCCGCGACCTCCTGGACCCACACGCCACGGCGTTAGCCTATCGTCCTCCGCCTGTGGCACGTTCACGCAG